CGTACTAGAGTTGAAAATCCCGACCTTGTTTTTCGTGCTAAATGCAATTGATCTCCATACAGACTTGAAAGAAATCAAAGCTGGCGTTGCTTTCCAGATCCTCGCTGCTTTGATATCCTCGTCAGTTCCGTTCGCCTGTAGTTGAAACGATGCTTCACAGGTCGGTAGGTAAAGGAGGTTGTTTCTTTCAGGTTCCTCTCACTTATGCTGATCGTTATCTGTTGTTGTTGTTCTTGTCCAGGAATCTTCATCACCTCTGTTTTCTCTATGTTCACCTGAAGTCCTATCTTCTCTGGATGCTTCTTCTGCAAACTTGTTGCTTTTCACTTGCATATCTTCCAGTTTGTGGTAAATCAGACATATATCATCGGCGAAGTCCAGATCCTCCAAGTTTTTTGTGTGAGTCCATTTTATGCCTGTTTCCTCATTGCCCGCTGTTTGTCGCATTATCCAGTCTACTGCAATCAAGAAAATCATTGGCGACTGCATAGGAGGTTATCAGTCTTACTACATAAAGACAACATTACAGCGTCGGTGGCACGGCGGTTAGGACTCTTACCAACCATGCACATGGTTTAGGGTTCGATCATCTGCCGACGCACACCTGATATAAATGGTCAGCCTGCAAATTTTTGGCTACCGATATCACATGCTGAAAATTCCATACCTATACCAGAAGTGCTGTGTGGAATCAAGCTATAATCAAAATATCAAAAAACAAATAAAACGTTGAAGCTTGATGCTCTTTATTCTATTAGGAGCCTAAATGAATGCAAAAAACACGTATTTACAAGTGATTCAAAGTGAAACTAAGTGTTCTGATGTTTCAGAATAGTGACCTGTTGATATACGGGGTTTGTGTTTTCAAAAGTAAAATAAATCAGAGTACCGTTCTCAATATTACAGAGTATTTTAGCATAAAATCTCTGTGGGAAAAAATAAAGTGATGAAAAACTAAGAATGAAGGGGTATTGGTTTGTGAGGATTCAACTGATTTCAAGTTTGTTAATTAATTGACATTAGTTAGAGAACCATTGAAAATCAGGAAGTACTACATACCTGTTTTGACCTAGTTTGGTACTCCCTGATTTTCAAATGTACATTAACTGATAGCAGTTTATGATCAGGCTTAAAGTGAAGTGGTTTTTGTTGAAACTTCTCAGTCATGACATTAGGTGTATGTAGTATATTTACTGATAAGTTAAATGCTATAAATGACTATTTAAAATGAGTTTTAACCTAACTAAACAACTGTGAAGTGATTGGTTATAAAAATGAGTTATTAGTGTTGAAGAATCGAACATATGTCTCATATTCAGTCAATCGTATCATTATTCAATTACCACAATCACATGCTGAATTATTTTAGAGCACATGATTAATTCTGACCGATTACATAATATATAATTGAATTTTAGATTTTCCCGTCGATTGATTGGACCAAAGTGCTTGGTCTCAGGTTGACATGTCAGCTTCTTGTACAGATGCTTCGACGATGTCTGAGCATTTAATTAGAATTTAGTTTGTGGATGGTGACTAGCAGTGGAATGCAGGATGCGCATTTCATACCATTTGGGACTCGTCATCTGGATTTACCTGCAGTTCCCAGGGAGAGATGGTGTTCCCACCGAGGCTCGAACCCAATGCCCACAGTTCCAAACGCTGAGGCGTTATCCACTAGACCACTTGCACCACGAGAGCCGCCTCTTGTGCAACGGGCACTTCGGTTCAATCAACCGATGGGAAAATCTAAAATTGAATTCAATAATTAATATGACCCATTGCACAAGAGGTGGCTTTTGTGACCCAAGTGGTCTAGTGGATAACGCCTCAGCGTTTGAAACGATGGGCACTGGGTTCAAGCCTTGGTGGGAGCATCATCACTCACTGGAAAATGCAGGTACATCCAGTGACCAGTCCCAGATGGGGCGAAATGCGCATCCTGGATTCCATTGCTAGTCACCATACACAAATTAGATTACATAATGATTTGATATTAGCTTTGTTTGGATGTATGTTAATTTACTTCAGAAAATGTGGAAACGAAGGGAAACAAGCTTTTCAAATTTTTTCAACTACCTTTATATTATTAAGTAGCTTGTATAGGGTAAGTATCACATTTTTAGGCACATTTTGATGAAAAAAGCCTAGATTGTGGTGTACTTTTAGTCGAAGTATTAAAACTAAATACTAGATTGTTTAACACACATGAAGGTAATTCTACCTTGCACCTCATTCGCTAATGTATTCAAAACTACATTGTCGTTGAATTTAAAAGATCTCGTGAATAAAGTAAAGAATTATTGTAAAAATCTTCGGAAAGTGCTCACATTATATAATCAATGTTGAAAAAAAATATTTCGTTTCATAAATTTAACGGAATTAGCTCCTAGATAGCTGATAGTTAATTTTTATTCGATGAGATATATAGACGAAACTTAACTTCTCCTGAATGCTCCTATGTGCTTGATAATAAATTCTTTGAAGAGATTTTCATCGCTTAAACACTTGTTTTGATTCTCTAAATGCCTTAATGGAAATTTTCGATGGATCAGAAAACCGCATTCTGTAAAATAGTGAGAAGTAACCGAAACTGTTGTGTGATTCTGGTGGTTAGTCTTATTATTATTCCCTTGGGTTCCTAGTGGAACATAGGGCTTCAACTGCACGTCTCCACTTGCTTCTGTCTTCTGCTGTACTTTTCACATGCATCCATGTTATTCCATACTGTTTCAACTCCTCTTCACACGATCTCGTCCATGTCATCCTTGGACGTCCCACTCGCCGCTTCTATCTCCACTTTCTCCTGCATATTTGTCGGGTAATTGGTTCTTGTTTTGTTTGTTCCCATAGTTTCCTGTTGGTGATTCTTTCCGGCCATCTAATCTTCAGTATAGAACGAAGACAGTTGTTGATAAAGGTCTGCAACCTGTTGGAAATATTCTTTGTGATCCGCCAAGTTTCTGATCCGTATAGAAGAAGTGACTTGACATTTGTATTGAAAATCCGAATTTTGTTGTTGATGCTGAGTGACGAAGATTTGCAGATTGGTTTCAGGTTGATGAATGTGTTTCTTGCCTTCCCGATTCTCGATTTGACATCCTCGTTCGTTCCTCCTGTAGTTGAGACAATGCTCCCTAGATAAGTGAATGAAGTAACCTCTTTCAAATCCCTCCCGTTGATGGTGATTGGCACTGGATGTTGCTGCTGCTGTTGTTGTTGTTGGTTGGTTATTTCCATACCCTCCGTCTTGTCTATGTTCACCTGGAGTCCTGTCTTTGCTGCTTCTTTGACCAATTTGTCGGTTTTCGCTTGTAAGTCTTCGACTTTGTGTGATATCAAACATAAATCATCCGTGATTAGTCTTACTGTCTTCGAAATCATTCAGAGTTGAAAAAGAAGTTATCATTTTACTGATTTTAGAAAACAAACTATCCTATTTTAAATTCGACGGCAACTATAATTAAATGTGAATGTGAATTAACTCTTCAATTCTTCCCGGTTGATTTATCATGTCATTGTCTATCTACATTTCTCAATGAAAATGTACTCATCAAGCAAATTATTAATACCCATAATAAATAAGACTACCAATAAATCGATCACTGCACATGACTTAAACATCTGAGTGAATGATTTTTTCGTCATATTAATTTTAAAAATATAATTTAAAGTGAGAATACAAATTAAGAAATGTGTGTGTGCATAGGGTGAAAAAGATTTTTTTTTCGATTAGTTCACCGCATAAAATTTATTCATTAGTTATTAGCCCAAGTTTGAATAAAAACGGCACAGTGTAGTGCCAAATTCACTCAAGATTGAGGAAACAAGTACAAGAAAATAGAAAACATATTTTGTTGTACAAGAATTTCACTTATCTTGCCTAGAACTTCTTTGCTGTATATTACAAACCATGTTGGTGTAGTTGTGTCCTCTGAACTGGATGGTTTAGTTGCCAGGCTTTCATTGTTTTTTCTAGAAAACATCCTTAGCGCATACTTCAATTCCCCAGGGGGTTTATCAGCTATCTTGTGGAGAATTCTAAATAAAGCTCGCTTCAGATTGAGGTAGATGCTGAGGATGTTGTCTAAAAAAGAGAATCAAAGCTTGGCAACTAAACCATACAGCTCAGAGTACACAACAACAACAACATCATTCCCTTGAGCTACAAGCCTTCCTACAACGTTGCATTCTAGCAAGACAAAAATAATATATTGTTGAAATTTGAGAAACCTAAATAAATTATTCATATGAACTGTGATCAAGATTTGATCGGATAGTTGCAAAATAATTGAGCACTGAGTGAGAAGTAGACATTTATAAAATTATGTTATAAGTGGACAAACAATATTAGGTGACCATCATAAAATTACCGAATTGCGTCCGATTTTCACTCTCAGTAGCAATTTTGGATAGTAGTACACTTAGCTATTTCGAATAAATCTTTCAGATGTTATTCAGTAATTGTAAAAACATCTTTAATGTCGATTTTCGCTCTCTCAATCTAGCATCTGTATACTCTAAAATGAAAGCATTGTGCATTAAACCAATAAGCCAGAGTAACTGCTTCCAGTTCCAACTATGTATGCCTATCAATCTACTATACGATTCATTATCTTTTCTCCTGTCAGCCTAAATTCCATATGCTTTTCTTATTTAAAGAGTCTAGATACCGTCTTCACATGTGGTAACTTACTTGAAGTTAAACGTACCAGTGAAATACTGAAGCAAATATAAAATGTTCTCTTTGGTTTCCCAATCAGATAGATTCCATAGTAATATATGGGCTAAACAGAGTGATATGTGAGCAAATCCAGCCTACGAATTGACAACAAATAATTTAGGTCTTTTACAGTTAAAAGCGTAAATAGTACACTTTGTATCATAATTCCAGGATAAATAGCATTAAAATGTTTGAATGTAAGGTAATGTAACCTCTCAGTATTTTCTTTATCCTTGTCAATTCCATCTTTTTTTCTGCTTTTTTTGTTAACAACAAGATTATCCTGTCTGAATTTTGGCCTGATCATCCTGATCCATCCAGCGTAGTTTATCAATGGGAACGACGACTAAGAAATCGTGGTATAGGTGTTGTTAGCCAACAGTTTGAGACCGACAAAAATCAGTTATTTGAAACATCGAAATCAAAGCAAATTGTGCCTTCAAAAGTAAATAATAATAATAACAATAACAATTCAATTTCAAGTGTTAAATACACATCAAGTGAATCATTATTGGAAAATGAGAAAAAAGATAGTGGCTTTGATGAGTCAAACAATATTCTGCCTAAAATTGATGAAGAACAATTTCTTCAAGGAGAAAATTTCACTACACCGACAAAAATTTCACTTAATTTAACCAAAGACAGTCCAACTAAATCACCAGTTAAGGCAGTGAAGAATATTATTCCCACTCAAATCCCTGGATATGGTAAAACAAACTTCCACTTACCACAGTATGTAATGATGCTTCGAATACTTTTTTAAAATTTATTTAACTATTATGCTTTTTGAGTGTTAATTTGCAAGGATTTGACTGGTGGCAGAATTCGATCATGAGCTGACAATGGTTATAAAACCACCAGGGAGAACTGGACGGTTGTGTTTTCCTACTTTGTAGCTCTTCAATAGTACACACCCACCGGGGTTTGAACCCAGGACAATCCGCTTACAAGACAAGCTTGTTTACAGCAGTAAAATGTGGTATTTTTTTGACTACAGCTTGATTCCACACTGTATTTTTGGTGCATGTATGGAATTTTCAGCATTTGATATCGGTTGCCCAAATTTTGCAGGCCGACCATTGATATCAGGTGTGCGTCGGCAGGAGATCGAACCCCGGACCATGTGCATGGTTGGTAAGGGTCCTAACCACTGTGCCACCGATGCATTTAGAGATTTAATGACATGAAAGATATTGTCACATTTTCTGTAGGACTCTTATTGTCTATAGTATAGTTTGTTAAATAAATCAACGATTAAATTTAAAAGCTTCAGTTTGTTAGTTGAACAACTTCATGCTGATTGTAAACTACAAGCTTGAATATTCAGATAATAATTGAAATTCTAAAGTCAGTTTCTTTAACACCAGGGAGCTGCCACCAGTTAATTGGCTAAACTTTAAACAGATACTTCTGTGGAATAATCTAGCAGTCAGCCTTATCGAGACGAAATGTTGAGTGCATTTTAGACAATCACTTAAATACACATCAAATTCGAAACTTTATATCACATTAAGATGCTTTGTTTATTTGTGTTCTTCGGTAGAAATTAAATGCCTAGTAGCAGAGTACTGCTTTTTCGTATAGGTTTGACGTGAGAAGGTTGTTTAAAATTGAGAGATAAAAGCTACGAATTTATTTAGGTGAAAGATTACAGGAACCATAAGAAGTTAGACAGTATGATATTTACTAAATGAAATTATGAACACATGCTTGAGAGCAGTTGGCAGGTAGGGCTTTTTGTTATCAAATAGTAAATATGAGTACTGTTTTCACCGTCATAGATTACTAAACCAATTTTATTCTGTTTCAGATTGTCTCAGGTTTATAACGTTTTATTGTTATCATCAATTTTTTGGGACTAACTAACAGAACACCTCATAATTTATCAAAGGAGAGCTTAAGTTCAAGTTGGCGTATTCAGTTTAAGTATATTCTGGAGAATGTTGTATTGACTCAGAACTTAATCCACTTTTTACATTATTCATATTGAAATAATTAAGAGTCTTTGAGGCATGCCTGATTATAAGAAAAAAGAAAACTGTTATTAGATAATTTGCTTCCATAAAAGAATGCCTGAAGCCTAATAATATTAACATAATTACCCTGACATAATTATTCTGTCCATCTCAAGCAAAATACTAGGCCGCATGATCCTGGAGAGAATTGAACATGCCCTAGATGAAAACTTCGACCGAAACAGGCTGGATTCAACAGAAACAAGTCATGCATCGATCGAATTGCAACACTAAGGATCACCAGCGAATACAGCTTGGAATGGCAATCAGCTCTCTATCTCAACTTCATCGACTTTGAAAAGGCCTTCAGTAGACAGCGTCGATCGAGAGTTGATTTGGAAGCTACTTCGCTACTACGGGGTGCCACCGACAATAATACATCTCATCCAACAGCTATACGACAATGCTGCATGCCAAGTAATCCACAACGGGAAACTTACGGAACCCTTCGAAGTGAGGACAGGAGTAAGACAAGCTGGCTGCCTACTATCGCCAATGATTTTCTTGATTGCAGTAGACTGGATAATGCGACAAACAGTGGGCAATGAGGAAGCAGGCATAAAATGGACACACACAAAAGACTTGGAGGATCTGGACTTCGCCGATGATATATGTCTGATTTACCACAAACTGGACGATATGCAAGTGAAAAGCAACAAGTTTGCAGAAGGAGCATCAAAGATAGGACTTCAGGTGAACATAGAGAAAACAGAGGTGATGAAGATTCCTGGCCAACACCAACAGCAACAACAGACAACAATAAGCATCAATGGGAGGAACCTGAAAGAAACAACCTCCTTTACCTACCTAGGAAGCATCGTTCCAACTACAGACGGAACTGACGAGGATATTGAAGCAAGGATCTGGAAAGGAAGACAAGCTCTCATTACTCTCAAGTCTGTGTGGAGGTCAACAGCATTCAGTATGAAAACTAAAATAAGATCCGGATTTTCAACTCCAATGTGAAGTCAGTGCTACTTTATGGATCAGAGACTTGGCGCGTCATAAAGAGCACTTCGAACAAACTACACACCATCAACAGCAGTCTTCGCTCAATACTCAAGACCAGATGACTGGCCAGAAAAGATCAGCAACAAGGATGGATTTCTGGGAGCTAACCAACCAACCAGGAACCGATTGTGCAACAAATAAGCAGGAAAAAATGGAGGTGGATTGGCCATACTCTGAGGAAACCATCTAGTGACATCACAAGACAGGCCCTAGAGTGGAACCCGAACGGGAAGCCGTGAGTTGGTCGTCAGTGCAAGGATGACTTGAAGGAGGTTATGTGAAGAGGAGATGAAAGCATATGGGCAGACGTGGAGCCAGGTGAAAATGTTGGCAGAGAACCGAACGCAATGGAGACGTGCGGTTGAAGCTCTATGTTCCTCTAGGAACTAAAGGAAACAATAATATAATAATAACCCTAACAATATATATAAGTTTTAAGTAAAAAAACATACATCCGTAGGCACAAAAAATCATTTCCTTCCTTGATAGAGTGAATTTAGATAAAAAAGCAACAGACTGAGTGAAGAAATATATTCCTTTTCAATTAGTTCCTCATCATCGGCTCTACACTAATATATAGTTTTTACATCAAAAATATTTACCAGTCGGTTTTATGTAAGTTTTATGTGTAGGGGTTGGTGAAATTAAGAGGTTAAAGATCATCAAAACAAATAACTATTAGTTATTAGTAAGAAGATATCTAAGTTTTAAAAGAAGGGTAAAAATTAACTACATAATTCAAGATAAGTTTCTTCTTAGGCTTTAGCAACAAGTTATTACATAATCAAGAAATTTGTAATATAGCAATATTGACTAAGAAGAATAGGATGACTCAAAAGAGTTACATGAAATACAAAGAAGTTAATATAATTATCTAGAACTGTAAAAATTAACACAGTGAAAAGATAATTACAAGGGGAGGGAAAAACATCGTTTCTAAAAACATGATACATATTAATTAGTTGGCCATGGGTCGAAGGAAGGGGCTGTACAAATTGGTTTTGAACGCACACACAGATGTGGCTTTTTCAGACGAATTCCAATTGTCTCTGTTGTATGCAAAAGTCGTACTCGTAGACCATGCGGCGAGAGTTTGGATGATATATGATAAATGTAGTGAATTTCCACAAATTTGGTGTCCCCCGAAAAGGCGAAACGAAGTCAATAAAAAGCACAGTTGAAATTAACGAAAATATTTCAGGAGTTCACTTCACTAATAGATAATGTGAATCCACATGAAATCATTTACAGTCAAAAGTTACACATTGGCATATTTTTTCTTTAAGCAGTTGACTTCATTCTGTTTCACGGAAAATACCCATCCAGACATGAAGATAACCATAAAACTTCAATGAAGAGTCTCTTTTAAGCGAATTCATTCACTTAGTTGTACAGCCGCATTTATATATAATTATTTTGTGTTTGCGTATACATTAGGATTGTCAAATAAAAATAAAATTATCATTATTCTTATGTCAAAATAAGAATTAGTTAGGGTTATTGCTTACGTCATCAAAGTGTTTCAAGAATGTGGTAAATAATCAAACTGTAACAATTGGGGTGAAGATTGGTAAGTATTGACAAGAGTTGCGTAATATGAAGCGGGATGTTAATTAAGAAGCATGGAGGCACGTGTCCAAAATAAATTATGTAGTAGGTGGAAAGAGTAAACAAAGCAGTACGCACCCACCGGGATTCGAACCCTGGACCTTCAGGTTACAAGGCGAGCTCGTATACCATTAAGCCACTGGGACCCGATCCAATGGTCCATGAATTCTAACTTCTGCCAATTCACGACATAGCGCGACCCCTAGCCAATGTCTTCGGCGAGTATTTGTCCTCACGCCCGACCTGCTGCACCCTACTGGTCACGACTTCTCACTAGAACCCCCCCCCAGAAATTCATGGACCATTGGATCGGGTCCCAGTGGCTTAATGGTATACGAGCTCGCCTTGTAACCTGAAGGTCCAGGGTTCGAATCCCGGTGGGTGCGTACTGATGAAGAGTCCCAAACTAGGACGAAACAGCTGTCCAGTACTCCCAGGTTTTCCAATGGTTCTCTAACTGATGTCAGCTCATGATGAAATCCTGTAACCAATCAAATCCCTACAAACCAACACTTGAAAAAGTAAACAAAGCGTTGGTTAAGAAAAAGATGTTATTAAGTAGTCATTCAGAAATTCAAAAATAAGTATTATTAGCAAAGTGGTAGAACTTGGCATTATACCCATTGTAAGAGAAAGGTGTGGAGAAGTTTCTTCTGTGTACATCAATCAGGGTTTTCTATCTGGATCTTTAAGGCCTCATCAATGCATAGTATACGGAATCTAACGGCTTTTGGGAGGTTTCTTTTGACTTAACAGATGATTTTGAATGAATCCTCCTTACATACTGAGTGACCAGTGTTGAAGATATGTTCAATTATAGCACTCCTTATTGATCCACTGTTACCTTTTCATAGACAAGCGGGATGATGTTCTTTAACTTTTGGATAAGACAAGCATCAAACAACCTGCCCTAACTTATGTCAGAAGTTATAATTCATGGACCACTGGGTCGGGTCCCAGTGGCTTAATGGTCTACGAGCTAGCTCGCCTTGTAACCAGAAGGTCCTGGGTTCGAACCCCGGTGGGTGCGTACTGATGAAGAGTCCCAAACTAGGACGAAACAGCTGTCCAGTATTTCCAGGTTTTCCAATGGTTCTCTAATCAATGGCAGCTCATGATGAAATCCTGTAACCAAGCAGCCAAATCCCTAAAACCAATACTTGAATATGTTAATTTTTTTAAAAATCCTAATGTAAACACACACAAAATAATTATATTAAAATGCTATTATACAGCTGAGTGAATGAATTCGCCGAAAAGAGCCTCTTCGCTGAACTTTGTTGTTCTTATATTCATTCTATTTGTTTATTACTACTTGTACTTATTTAATTTTGTTTTTTTCTGTTTCAGCTCAAAGAACCATAACTCTCCTCTATCTGTTGCACAAGATGATAATTCAAGTCTCTTAGAAAAAAGTATTGTTGAATTATCACTTCATGAGAAAGTGAATGCAACATTAGGAGAAAAATATCAGAATACTACTACTACTACAGAAATAACTGGATCCATGTTGTTGACAAAACAAAATATTTCCAAAAACAATGCTAATTCAATGATTCATTTAAATTCAATAGTCCCATCTTTACCATTCTGTCATTCAATATATCCACAGCATCATTTTAAGGGATTACAACAACAAAAACTACAATCTAACAATCTTCATCTATCACTTTCATCTTTTCCACTTCAGCAGCAACAAATAAAATGCCAACAGTTAAGAAAACCGGATAGTTTAAGCAAATTACTATCAAAGTATCATAATCGTTTACAAATAGGTGAGAAAGTTCTTCAAAGTGTAGAACAGCGTCGTGATGAATTAGCTACTAAAGAGAATCGACTACCAGTAAGTCACTGTCGTTAGTTATACAAGTTTGTAAAAACAGAATATGAACTTGAATATAATTATCAGTATCCGATTACATCTAGTCAAAAAAAGAACCGATTTGGTTTTGTTCATATGGTAGGCAAAAACCAGAAGGTCCTCGGTTCGAACGCCGGTGGGTGCGTACTGATGAAGAGTCCCAAACTAGGACGAAACGGCTGCCCAGTACTCCCAGGTTTTCCAATGGTTCTCTAACTAATGTCAGCTCATGATGAAATCCTGTAACCAATCAGCCAAATCCCTACGAACCAATACTTGAAAAAAAAAGAATTTGTAAAATGTATTGACTTCAAGTGCTATTTTTGATTCTCCATAATATGTCATTAATCAATTAATCACTAACTACATTGGTATTAAATGTCTTATGTAAATAAAAATATTTTAATTGATAAAGGAATAAATAGAGTCCAAAAGCTGTGATAAACTGATAAATTGAAAAAAGAAAAGTTATAAACCATTCATTATTCATATCATTTCTGATATTAAAATGATGAGTTTTATGCAGTTTTAAATAATTGCAGGGAAGTATTTTCGTCTTTGAAGGATGACGTTTGACTAATAAAAGGTATAAAAATCAAAATAGTAAATCAGTGGGTAAGACAGTAAAATGAAATTAAATAAAACGTGAATAGATAAAATAGCACATTACTGCAGTGACAACTACCACTGAACTGTAGGAAACGTTTGTTTAAAAAAATTAATACTACTGGGGATTTTTAGAAGGTTAATATATATTAGACGGTTGGAGGCAATTGGCAGGAAGCCTTCGACCAAGGTTTCGTGCTAGTTGGCACTCACCAGTCACCAAGGCTTATCTGCAACCTTGAAGGAACTCATGTCCCTTCTGAGACACATCACACCACAGTCCTACAGGAGGTCAATCGCGAACGTCTCTGACTGCAACACTGGGTGACGCGCGCTCGAATCTCAGAAGGGAAATGGGTTCGTTCAAAGTTAAAGATACGCCTTGCTGACTGGTGAGTGCCAACTAGCACGAAACCTGTCTCCAAGGCTACTTGCTAGTCACTTGCAGCCATATAGAATCAGCAATTCAAAGTGTACCGTGATGACGAGCCACCTAGAATGGTGGCCACTTTGCAAACCTGAATGATAGAATTCAGTTTGCACCAAACAAGGGACTAGACACATCACACTAGTTACTGGTGTCCAATCAAAGCCTAATGTATTTCAAAAAGAAAGTATTATTTAATAATAATAATAATGGCTTTATTCCAAACAGTATTTGTGGTACAGGTATGGAATTTTCAGCGTGCATTACAATATTGCATGTAATTATCTCATAAATTTTATAAGGATTTAAAAATAAAAGGCAACAACACCAAAAAGAAAAGAAAGAAAAAAAAAGAAATTAAAAGAAGAAGAAAGAAGAACAGCATTGCATTCACATATTTAAACAATGCACCACAGGATATGAAATATAAAATTAGTGTGTAATAGAATATATGAGCAACAATATAATAGTAACAAAGAAAGGAGAACAAAAGCTAATGGGAACTATTTGTTAGAGTGCCGCAGTAAGGTGATCGTGTCATGCCTAACAGTTTTCTCATCACATAACAGCTGTGCCAGATAAGGTATTGTGGAGTTTTTATACTTGGTAGTCCTGGCATATAGCTTCCTATAGTTGCTTCTAGTTCTACCAGATGAAATGCAAGGAGAGAGCTGCGTATGGAGAGGGTGTTCGGGGTCTGACAATATAGAATTTGCTAGTTTCTTACATGACATTATATGTCTATCCACAATTGTGTTAACCAGTTGGTTTAACGAAATCCCACTTGCCCTACTAACAGCTTTTAGTGCCCTATGCAGCAAAGCAAAGTCTTTCTTAAGTAGTCCAGGAAAGATTAATGGGGAGCAGTAAAGAGGGATGGGTAGAATACAGGAATTGACAAACTGAGAAAGCAAAGACTGCCTTATACCAGACTGCCTAAACTTCCTAAGGTAGAACGTTAAGCGAAACATCTTTCTAGTTACTGACAAGATGTGAGAGGACCAGGAAAGATCGGAGGAAATACTCAGTCCAAGGTACTTGACATTTGATGTAGTTGCAACCTCTATGCCGTCAATGATAGTGGGACCATGTGAGGTAGCTAGTTGTTGAAGGTCACTTGATGATGATGATTTGCACAGTGATAGAATGAAACACTGAAGATGTAGTTTGGAGAAAAAACTGTACACTGGTTTGATCTTCTCATTGTGGTTATGTAAAATGTAAGGTTATCTCTAAGTGATATGAGACTAAATACCAACAATGTAGATAAAAAAGTAACTGACAAGAAAAGTTTGGAGACTATTTAGGAATATTTCAGGAGAAAGAATGAACTATAATATTTCGTATTTATTCAACTTTTAACTTGAGGCAGTCAGATTTTAATAATACTGCAGATAATGTGCCTGGCATACAGTCTGCTAGTTTGCCCCAATTTTAATATGGTCTTCAACTTTTCTTTCTCTTTCAAGAAAGTTGTTTGTCGATGTTCCTCTTTATACTATCGAAATACACTCAGCGTACGTTTGTCGACTTTTTAAGTTCGTCTGTTTATCTCCAGTTTTTCATCTTTGTTGACTTCACCGTAGCTGCTAACATATCCATTATCTCTCAGTCTAAATTACTTAGATATGTTCTTAACTTTGGTACAAATATCACGGAATACTTAAGAAATCCACGTGTCTGAAAGCCAGCATTCCTGTCAAAGTGCTAAGTCTACGTTATAATAAATCAGATAATACCCTCTAAACTTTCTTTGATTAGTGATCTATTTGTTAACTAGTTGTCAGTTTGTTAATTACCTCTCTCACTGTGCATGAATTTGACTGAAGTAATTATTTAACTCTTTCTTATTATCATCTAATTTATGTAGATGATATATGTAAGTAACATATATCACGGTTCATGATAACAGCGAATCTAGTTGATTTCAAGGTGGTTCTGCTTATCAATAAAAGACAGTGGGAGAATATTATAAAAGCAAGAAACAGTAGAGAGCTCTTTACCCAAGTGTAGGACTGTTAAAGTCTTCATTTTGTAGTCTTCAAACAACTGGGTCCCTGAGCTTTAGTTTGTAAACTGTTGGCCAACCAAGATCTTTAACTCAGTTTCGCTGGGGGCTGTGAGTGCAATTACCTGATGAATTTAGAATTTGATCAAGATGGCTTCTAGGTACTCTTTGAATTCAAGTAGCTCTGTATTGTTTAGTGCAAAGTTTCCTATTATGAAAAACTATCATCACCGTTGTTTCTAAAAAATAACCAGTTTCAGGAAAGATAATTGGTCAGGCATAAATTGAAGACTGAAGTATAGTTGGTCAGTGAAATTTAGAGTTTTACCAAGGTATTCATTCTTCATCCCTAAATACTTAAACTTGGGGGACTTTACAAGCTAGATAGTCATAGAGTAGACAAACACGGAGAAAGCAAATATACATCTCCAGTGTCTGCAGTAATGTAGACATTATCCGTTAGGGTTCGTCAGAATGTCAGAACATATGATCAGGGACTTTAAATTAAACAGCCTTCACTTATTTACAACTTTATGTTTCCCTCAAGTCCAGGCTGAAAATTTCGTCTACTCTGAGTTACTCCTTTATTTTTTATGTCATTCTTAACTGTATTATGCATTTCTGTAACCTATACTAATATGCAGCTACCTTTGAGGGCTTTTACCTCATATAGGTATCTCATGATTTGTTGTGACTACCTTCATAAAATTTAACTTTCTGACAATGCAGTATTCCAGAGATTTTAGATTCATAGGATGATAGCCACATATTACGGTCTGTCTATAACAATGTTCAGTCTGAGCGCTTATTCAAAATGGTACTGTGTCGACTATGTATTCTGTCTTTTGTACTTTATGATGTTCAATACCTGTTTAATGAATACTTTTTGAATTTCCAGTTGGTCGAAACACAAGATGATACCTTAAGGAAAACTGAAACCCCAGAAAAAGTTCCTGTGAAGTCGAATGATTGTCAAACAAACAAATTATGTCATCAAACTATACCCACTACAAATCTTACCACGGATACTACGAATAATGAGAAATTTGAAGGGGTCAGCACAACAGTTTTACATAATATGAAATCAATAAAACAGCCTAAGCTAACAAATCAGACAATAAAATCAAAACATTTCAATCTAAATCAACAAATTAAAGTTAATCCAGTCATTGCCAATAACACTGACAAAAATAATAGAGGTGATCCTACAGGCATAAATGGTAACAGACAAATTGACAAGTATAGCAATGAAGTACCTTCACAATCCGACCCAAAATTATTATTAAAACAGAATATAAAGGTAAATGAAAATAACAATAATAATAATAAGGCATGGATTGATAAAGATCAAGAACAAAAAATTGATCAAGAAGAGAAAAATCATGCCACATCACATAACATTCCTACTGTTAATCATACGCCTAATCATTATCAGCATCATAGTGAAAACAATCAAATTGAGTTGAAAAATAAACAAGCTTTTAATGAAATTTCAACTGCTGTACAAAATACTCCTCATAATCTTCACGTGAACGAAATAGATTTAAGCAGAAGTAAGTGATTGAAGTGTCTAGTGTGCAATAAATATTTTGATCAGTTGGTTCTTCAACTGCTTAGGTATTTTTATGATTGTTATGATTAAATGATCAGAATAATAGGAGAATAAGTAATTAGTCCTGAATTTCGTAGATTTATGAAATTGCTTTCTAACAAATTCTTTTCTTATAAATCAAAGCTATCAGCTTTATGTGGTAGTGAGGAAAAACAAAATGAGGGGGGTAGATATTGTGTTAACAGACGGGAAGTTCACTTTCTTTATTGGCCTTTATGTCAGTCAACTTTGGATTCGACGGGTTTTTGAATATGAGGTAAAAATTAATAATAATTCCTTTAAATTCCCAGTGGAAAATAGGGCTTCGAGCTAGGGGCTTGAAATTTCGGTAGCTGGAATGTTCATTTTTAAGGAATAGGGTGACTAGCCTCATTCCCAACCTTCACTCTTTACCAGTCTTATTACTGGCTTAGTGAGGTAAAGGAGTGCGTCGGCCGGGAATCGAACCCTGGACCACACGAGGCTTGGTTGGCGAGCATTCTACCACTGTATCGCCGACGTACTGAATATGAGGTGAAAGGCCTAAATTATGTTAAAGAGAAAGAGACAACTGAATAAAAACACAATGTGTACATGTACAACTTATTAGCCTTACTCTTTCGATTCTAAACCAGTCAGAGACTGAAGTTATCTGAAATTTCAGAAGTATAAGTTTCTCTTGCTACTTCGCACACTATTACTAAAAACGTAATGGTTGCTATTTCAAGAGATGTCCGTGAAAACTCTTGATGATGATTTTGTGGATGGTACTTTGGCATTCAAAAACTATGAGAGCTGTAGTAAAATCTCAGTAGGTGAATCATCACTCACTATAGATGCAGACACGTCCGGCTAATGAGTCCCAAATAGATCAAAATGTGCATCTTGAATTATACTGTTAGCTAAAGTCAATCAAAAATTACACCATACGTATAAAATGCTGATGCTTTTATAAAGTCTATTTGGAGGTCTTTCTTTATTAGTTTTAACAAACTGTACATTGAAATTTGTCGTCAAGCTTTTCATAAGTGTACTGATGAAACTTCTGATCTAGACTAGTCTTTTTAATATGAATTAGTATTTTGATGCATTGAGCAATAGAAGCACGTATTTCAGTCAATCTACAGCCCTGCCAATTATCTTATGTGTTAAAAATACATTAAATATATATATATATATATTAGTGTCTCATAGAGATCCGTAATTAAACGTAGTTCTTTAGAGACTATCGTAAATTAATGAGCTTAGTACTGTATTCGGTCTGTTGCACAAACAACGGGGAAAACAATCAGTAACCTTCAGCCAAGTGCTTTTATTAGGCCAACAGAATACCGTCGCGAACTGATCAGTACGAAAAGATTTATGACAATGGGACTAGGAAATAACTTGAGGTTAAAGCTGCTCAAATGTAAACTGACTGAAGGTTTTAGAGAACAATGGCATTTGACACGAAAAAAGGTATAAAATATATAGAAGCACTAGGTGATACATTGCTAACAATTTAGGCTTAATACAGAAACAAATTAGAAGGGATCTGTAGCGAGTCAAATGAACTCTGAGAAGGCTAGAACTTTGATAACTTCTCAAGTGAAATAGCTGAAACGGTTGACAGAACACTTTGCATTACACTTCAATTAACTAGCAAGTTCATTAAAGCTAAATAATACGCAGTCAGCATGAATGGGACATGAAGCTATATTCAGTCCAAAGCGAAAGAAAGCAGCAGGAACTAACAGCTTGATTTCAGAAGTGTTAAAGAATGCATGTGATTAGTCAAGGTAATAAATAATGTGTGCGAATTCAAGTTACTTACATTGAATTGATACAAATATTTGACAAACCTAGTTTAGAAGAAGGGGGAAAATCTTCTTGTGATAATTAGGGAGGGATGAACCTGACTGCCTAAGACTAATTGGAACTATGCAATACTCTGAGCTAATTCACTTTACATAACCATTTTTCCTTAGGCATTTCTCAACAAAGCCCAAGTTCTTTACTATCATTCAAATGTTGAAGTCTTTTATCGTCATTTTAGTTATAGGTAGTTTTTATTTGATGAGAACCTGTGAAATAGAATGATATCATTGTATACTGTAGATATGGTGTTTCTTTGTCGAAAAAGGGTTTATATATAAATCTTTTTCCTAATAAGTGTAATTAAATTGTATTAAATAGTTTAAATTACGCATATATTAGTCTCCAAGCATTATATAAAAATAACATTTTCGTTAAATTTTGTTTCCTGACCAGCTAAATCATTATCCAATGATCACAAACTTGACAACGGAAAACATGAGTCATTTGAACAACTTCCAAATAAAACCTTTGATAATGAAAAGAATGATGTTAAGCTGAATGGTGAAGAAAAACATCCTCAAACAGCCATCACAAATGACACTGTGCCTGTTGTTACACAAAAGCAAATGAAAAATGCAGCAATTAGAGATAAAAATTATGCTGCCGGTATTACGACTAATTCTAGTTCTCCTATAAAGTCATTGAATGCTAATGATGCAACGAAAAATAAATTGATGGCCAACTGCTCTACAGTCAATGTTATTAAGAAATCGGATCGTGACGAGACAAAGTCCCTGTATGCATCTATTGGAGTAACATATGTTCCAGGTAATAATTTGTTTCCAACTTGTATATGCAAATGTAAATGTACACCTCATGTGGTTTTACGATACGCTACAAAATGCTAAACATAGCACAATATGAGAATACAACTTCCTGGCGGTTATGAGATCCCAGTCAACTTGGTTGTAAACATTTATACTTATACATTTTGCTTAATGAAAATGAGCTAAGGAAGTTTATTTTAGGACATTTTCAGATTTGTTAACCAATTGGTATTTTCACCTCTACTTATCGTAATTATGAGTTATAGAGAAGAGTCATATAAGAAGAGAAGGCTTTTACTTTAATATGTATTATTAAGTTTAAGAACCATATCACCCTATTTTGGGTAATAACAAGTGTTTGGTCAAATAGTATGATCCAGTATACCACTATATTTCCCGATGCCTGGCACTAGTTTCCGTCCTGTTACACGTTACTTGTTGTTTGATTCAATGTAGATTGTTAATTCCATCAAAATGTCTCCAGAATCAGCATGCTTTCAGCCGAAGAAATATGATAAAAGGTATTGACTTTGTAAAGAGCTCTTTTCTTGGCCGGAAAGAATCACCAACAAGAAACTATGAAAGCAAGCAAAACAAGAACCAATCGCCCAACAAATATGCAAGAGAAAGTGGAGATGGATTGGACACTCGCTGAGGAGACCGCTCGGTGACATCGCACGTCAGGCCCTCGAGTGGAACCCGAAAGGGAAGCGGTGAGGGGGACGTCCAAGGGTGACATGGAGGAGATCGTGTGAAGAGGAGTTGAAACAGTATGGACTAACACGGATGCAGGTGAAAAGTATAGCAGAAGACATAATCAAATGGAGACGTGTAGTTGAAGCCCTATGTTCAACTAGGAACCCAAGGGAACAATAATAATAATAAAAGAGCTCCTTTCTTTTACAGGCCGCGGTTTTCGTGTCAGGAGTAAGCATTTAATCATTTAGTTATCCTGTGATTGAACTCCGTACTAGGAGCTTATCTATAAATAGACGCCTAGTGTTTAGTTCCAATATGATGGCGCATCAGGAAATATCAAGTGAATTTAATAAATAATATCTGGAACCTTTTGCACAAAAAGCGGCTCTCCTTGCACAGTGGACCAGTGGATAAGTGTTTGGGGTTCGAAGTGATATGAGCTGACTTCAAGTCTCACCGGAAACACAGTCACTCACTGGGGATGTAGGTACATCCGGTGATGAGTCGCAAATAGGACTAAATGTTCGTTGTGGATTCCACTGCTAGTTGCTGTCAACAAAATACCATCATGCAAGACTATAGTTTAAATAGTACATGACTGTTTCTTGAACACATTTTCACTTAACTGATTTCTGACTAGTAAAAATCTTCAAGCCTTCTATCTGTATGTCTGCCTGTCTGTTTTCGACATAAAACTTTGCACATATGTGCGGCAGTTCAAGTCGTCCCACTCCATGTAGCACACAAAACAAGAGAAGAAAGTAGGAGAAATGCCCAATACAGACAGTAAACAGAGGTGTGAGACAAAGGAATAGTAATAAATAACGAAGAACAAAACAGTTTCATTGGAAATCATAAGTCACAAGGAGTGGATGCACCTGCGCCACTGAGAACGATTTTGAGCCGTGTCACCAATTGTTTCCAACCATTGGTTTTTACCGTCCCGAGGACCCCAACCAGGAAGTCTACACCTTCCTACGTGGCTTAAACTAACTGTTATAGATTTCATTGACTGGTAAAGTCATGTTTTGGTTTGACCGCCGCCAGCTCTATTCCAGCCTGACCCTATATCAGCTAACATTGCCCGTCGAGGAAGGCGATGACTAGGCATACGTAACACATGTTCTAACCATCTCAGTCGATGTAATTTCACAGCCTCTTCGACTGATTTCCCCTCCTTACCTAGCACTCGACGCCTAACCTCAATATTGCTCACCCTATTATACCACTTCACACGGGAGATAGAACGCAGACACCTATGATCAAAGACAGCTAATCTTTTCATGTCTTCCGCCTTCTATAAAGTGGTCGTATCTGTTCGTAATATCCATCCAGAGAAATACTTTAGCCTGAGTTTGTAGTTATACTTTAATGCATCACCTTCACAAAAGTGGCTAGTCTTTCGTAAACTTTTATGTATTCGTTTCCTAATTATTCAACTTTTATTTATTGGTACACAAAATTTATTGTTTTTTAAGGTTATATAAAGAAGAATCAAATTTTTGATGAGGTACTTTTGTGAATTTTACGCTGAAAACAAAAGAGTGAGGTGAAAACAATTATAAGAATCGTTAGTGATTTTCTATTCACCAAAACTGTTCTAGGTGCTCAGTGTTAGAGTCACTGAGATGAGAGTCAGATCACATTTGTTACACGCTAAAAATTGTTTCATTTAGAATGTTTTTAGGAATAGACAGGTTTTCAGCTGTAGAAGTATGATAAGACGTTATGCTCAAACTGATTGTTTGAGCAGTTTCTTTCTTACAAAGGCTCAGGTTTTTGGTGTTGTTGGAAAGCAGTTAGTCTTATAGCTAGTGAAATTTGTGATTTATGTACTGGAGAAGGTTTAATAATTCAACGGATTGATGAGAGTTAAAGACTGCGTGCTAATCACCTACACTGAACTTATATTCTTGTGCACTACCTAATTCCTTCTTTCAATCAACAGATATGAATGAAAAGGATTACAAGATATGATAAAAATAGTATCCATTGAATTATGTGAACCATGACTTTCACTTCACCTGATTTCTTCAAAACACTCAATTTTACACGATAATTTATCATGCACTAATGACTGTACATTATAATTTGTAAAACATATTTGTAAAACCTCAGCGAGATTGGAGTAATTCCAACGTTTCGTTCGGCAATCTGGTCCGAACTTCTTCAGGGAAATTAATCGAAATTAACATAACAGAGGTTTATATATAAATCTTGACGACAGTTCATTTGAATTATTATTATGCAATCGAATTAAATTAACAAAGAAACTGTGTAATTGGCACAATCATGGTGTTTTCACTCTCCGTTAGCTGCAACAGAATGCATATCCTAAATCCATAGCTGTCGAGTCACCTGACAACTCCAGTAGGTCGAATAAAGCAGCTCAATTTCTAGAAAGAAGACAAAGCAATAAGTTCGACAGGGTGCTTCTACTAAACTCTAATCCTAAACACCATAATTTTGAAAATACGTCTAATCATAAAATTCTAGATACTAACAGTGTGAACAGACATGAAGGCGTGATGTTAGCTGATGCATAGGAAATCCTTATTAGTAAATAAAAATGGATATGTATCACTAATTATTAATACTTGGTCAAAATTCTCGACTGTCCATATCTTCCTATGGAGACGTTAAGAAATGTTTTACAACTGTTTACACACACACGCATGCACACTCTGTTTAAAGTGTTTAACGAAGATAGACCAATATTTGTAAGTCCGAGGTCAAATTTTGATCACAGCTCATAAAATTTTGTTTATTATACTTGTTTTATGACCCATGATTGGACAAAGTTTTTAAAGACAAGTGATGTTCCTTTTATATAAAAACCTCTATTATGTTAATTTCGATTAATTTCCCTGAAGAAGTTTGGACCAGATTGCCGAACGAAACGTTGGAATTACTCATTTCAATCTCGGTGAGATTTTACAAATATAATTTGTTTTACAAATGTCTACTTCTCACTGGGCACCCAAATATTTTAGAACTATTCTGTCAAATCTTGACGGCGACAGTTCATTTGAAGTTTATTATAATTTTTGAAAACACCTTAACACCTATGACTCTTATTTTATCTTTTCAATTTATTGCATAGACCCTGAATTTTTATCCAAACGTTATCATATTGGACGTAAATTAGGTGATGGAAATTTTGCTATAGTTAAGTTGGGCAAACGACGTGATACAAATGATCAGTATGCTGTGAAAATAATTGATAAAAATAAGATCACTGGTAAAGAGGCAATGCTGTTAAATGAAATCAGTATATTACATCATTGTAGTCATCCAAATATTGTTCGTTTATATGAAGAATTTGAAACTTCAAATGAAATATGGCTTGTAATGGAATTTGTTAAAGTGAGTATTATTATTATTTTTTAGATTTCTTTTTTATTTTATTGCATGAAACGTATATGAAAAATATAAAATACTGAGCTGGCCAATTGGTTTTCCCCACATTATGATAATTAAAATAAAGCATATATCAACAAAGAATACTGTTTTTAACCAGATCCCCTTCAGGCTATAATTCCATGTGACTAGAATTCAATATGTATAAATGTCTTCACAAATAATGAGGACATGTGAATGTCCTTGGTTGTATCCCGGGTGAGGACATGAGTGCGTACTGATAAGTAGTTCCAAACTAGGACGAAACAGGTGTCCAGTACTCCTTGATTTTCAATGGTTCTCTAGTTAATGTCGTTTTTAAATACCAACAAACCAACAATTGAAAGTTTATGTAGTCATCAATAAGTGTTGCATGTTATTCTACATCAGCAGCGATAATAACGTGAGTCAGTGGCACATCGGTAAAATGCTAGCCGACCAAGCAGGTGGTCCGGGGTTCGATCCCTGGCCGACGCACTCCTTTACCTCGCTTAGCCTGTAATAAGACCGGTAGAGAGAGAAGGTTGGACATGAGGCTAGCAAACCCATCCTGTAAAAATAAAAAGCACCACTACTACCGAAACTTCAAGCCTCTAGCTAGAAGCCCTACGTTCCACTGGGAACGTAAAGGAGTGAAATAAAGCGATAATAACAATGTCGCTGATATAAAAAAACACATCAAATAATGAAAATGAAGACACTGAAATTTCAGACATTTCTTGAGTCTAATTTAGTCGTAATCTTATAGTTGTAGACTATTACGGGTTAAGTAATTGGATAATTAAGCTTTATAATAACATGGTAAATGTTAAAGTTGAAAGGTTCAATGGTAAAGCAATTTATAACCCTGATTAATAAACAAAAAAAATTCTTTTCGATAATTTATTATTCACACCATTAATATATATTTTTTATGACATCAAATCACTACGACCAAAGAATTCAAGATTTCCCTACCACATAGATGCGCATGAGTAGAGTATTACTACTAGATTACAGTTTTTTAACATGAGTGTACGTGATAATATGCATAAATAAAACAATAAATTTACCTTTAGATATCACAGGGGGTGTTTCGCTTGAGGTAGACGATTACAGATAACAGACTATATCAGTGAATGCTAGTGATTAATGTTTAAAATGAGTTTTATTCATTGAACCAATGTCTAGGAGCGTTAATGGAGTAAAAGACTATGTGTACGCTTCAGTATTTAAGTAAATTTAGACATGAATAACCAAATATAAATTAAGAAAATAAGAGATTCGTTCATATAAGTGTATGGATAGAAATGGGAATGGATTATATGACTTTTGCTGAAAAAAATAATAAGGAACGAGAGAATTTGTGCATACATGACGAAAATGAATGCCTGTTAGGCATGACTTAGTGCAGTATTTAGGAGTTTATAGATTTTCCAGTAAACCAGGGTTACAACAATGGCTGGGCTTGCTCCTTTTATAAACGCATCTCCGGTTGTTCTAGGTAAATTAGTGTGCCATCTAAGTGTTGCTTTTGACATTTTATTAGGCACATGTTTCCTTTACGTTCCCAGTGGAATATAGGGCTTCAGGTTAGAGCTTTGAAGTTTCGGTAGTAACGGTATTCATTCTTACGGGATGGAGTTTCTAGCCTCATGCCCAACCTTCCCTCTTTACCAGTCTTATTACAGGCTTAGCGAGGCAAAGGAGTGCGTCGGCCGGAGATCGAACCCCGGACCACATGACGCGTGGTAGGCAAGCGTTCTACCGTTGTACCGCTGACGCACAGGTACATGTTAAACAATAGAAAATGATTGTTTAATATTAACTTTTTAATCTGTCTAAACTAGGTGTGCTAATATCGTAGTGTTAACACCTCTTAGCATACCCTCGTTTAACCGCACTGTTAAGTACCAACGAGTGGAATAATGAAGACAAATCTTATGAATTTATTATCTAATAATAATAATTTTGAGTGTGAATTGAGGACTATGAAAAACTCTGTAATTCCAGACGTTTAATCTAGCATTTATTCAACCATAAATGTATTACATCTATTAATTTAGGTAGGTCAAAGGTATGTGAATGAGGTATGACAACTCTTCTTCCCTAATATTAATATTCAAAGATGAATCTACTAAGTTTGACCAAGACGTTATTTACAATAACCAATTAGCTCATCATCACTGGAACTGTGAAAGCAGAACACTTTGAAATTTGATAACACTTAGGTTAGTAACATTTGAAAGCATCATTGTTTTGGAACGAGAGCGTGTTATTCTAACGGTGACAAAGAATTAGCATAATCATCAAAGCTGATGACGATATGACATTATTCTAATATTTTAATGCTTTTCAGTTTAAACAGCTAGTCTAGGAATCGTATTTGAGGCACTCTACTCAAATTCACGTAGCCGTGTAAGGGCTTATGGGGAATTGTCATCTGAATTGATAACAACCAGTGGTGTCCGTCAAGGATGTCCACTTTCCCCTTTTCTGTTTAACTTCATCATAGATATGCTAATGGAAGTATCCTTAACTGAACACAATGACTTAAGAATCGACTTGTTACCAGGGAATAGCCTTATGGACTTAGAATATGCGGATGACATAGTCCTGTTAGGGGAGGATGCTGACAAAATACAGAGTCTTCTGAACACCTTGAGCAGCAATCTTCGTATGTTTGGCATGCGATTCGCCCCTGTAAAATGTAAGATGCTGCTACAGGACTGGACTACGTCAACTCCTAGCTTAGTGATAGGGAGTGAAGTGATAGGTGGCATAATAAGGTAAGTAATGTTGACGTTAGGCGTAGAGTGTTGGGAAAAGAGGGAAAATCAATCGACGAGGCTATAAAGATACATAGATTGAGATGGCTAGGTCACGTGCTGCGCATGCCTAGCCATCGCCTCCCCCGACGGGCATTACTAGCTGATATAGGTGCAGGTAGGAAAAGAGTTAGTGGTGGCCAAACAAAAACATGGCATCAATCCATGAAATCCTTGACGGTTAAACTGAGTCAGGTAGGGAGATGCAGACTTCCGGGTTGGGGCCCTCGGGACTCTAAGAATCAATGGCTGGAGACAATAGGCGACATGGCTCAAAATCGTTGTCAATGGCGCAGATGTATTCAGTCTCTGTAATCTTTCATATTCCTTTCTACCATTACTCATTCTGTTTCACTCTTATGCTTGTAAAAACTATATTGATTCTCTTCACTCTTTTTCTTGTCTCCCTTTGTGTGCTATTCGGAACGTGGCAACTTGAACTGCTGCACTTCGGTGCCAAGTTCTATGTTTAATTCAGCCAGCAAGCCATTTCAGTGCATATATCTACAATCTATTTAATCCATGTCATTTTATTTATTTTACTCAATTGTAATAGGATGGAGATTTATTTGATGGAATTACTCAGGCAACAAAGTTTACAGAACCAGTAGCAGCTGGAATAGTTTCAGATCTAGCTAATGCATTATTTTATTTACATTGTCGGTCAATTGTTCATCGAGATCTGAAACCAGAAAACGTCCTGGTAGGTTATCTTTTTTAATTAATTAATTTTTACTTTAGCTTACTTGTTAACATCTTAGATTTGAATGACATAAATTTGACTCACTCTTTATTTTAACAGAATATGTAGTTTTCAAATAAATTAACAAGTATTTCTGGTCATTTCGTAAGGCTCCAATTAGAAAACATGGCTTCGATCTTTGGACTTTGAGTTTTCAGTAGTGATGGTGTTTTTTACTGGGTGAGGTTGCTAGCCTCATGTCCGATCTTCTCTCTTTTTTGGGCTTACCACTGACCACATGAAGTTTAAGAGTACATCAGTCGGGTATCGACCCTGGATCTCCCCTGTGTGGCTGGCTAGCATTTTACCACTGAATCATAGGATGGTTGACAGTTTACTCAAGAAGTTACTGGTATCGTGTTAACCAGTACTAATTGTCAACCAAAGTCTACCAATCTAGTTTAATATAATTATCAATTTCAAATACTAGCTTTTAGCACTCCTCTTGAAATTCTAATACGAAGTGCTGCACGTCAGTGGCTTAGCGGCAGAGTGTTCACCAACCGCGCAACAGCAGCGATAATAACGTGAGTCGGTGGCACAGCGGTAAGATGCTCGCCAACCACGCCTCATGTGGTCCGGGGTTCGATCCCCAGCCGGCGTACTCATTTACCTCGCTAAGGCGGTAATAACACCGTTAAAGAGGGAAGGTTGAGCATGAGGCTAGCAACCCCACCGCTTAAAAATTACCGCCACTGCCATCGAAAATTCACAGCTCTAACTTGAAGTCCTATGTTCCACTGGGAACGTAAAGGAATAAAAAAACTAAGTGCTGCAGCACTGGTTGAGCCTTGTTTGTATCTGTGGTTGAGATATCTCATACCTGGAGATTTCACACACACACTTTATTAACTAGCAACAAAGTTTTGCAGTTTTAGATGTGATGCTTACTGTATAAAGCAATCAAACACTTGATTTAAACTTCAGAAAGAATGACTAAGATAATTTAACTTATTTGTATGTAAGCTTTCCAATATTTTAGCCGTCTTCATAGGCAAGATATTTAAACCCTTTGTTATTGCATTTAAATCTGTAGTTTATTTTGTTCAGTATGCATGATATTTTAATATTCAATGCTGAGTATACAAGTTAAAAATGTAAAATCTGATATGAGGAAAAGACTACTGTAAAGAAAGATGAGACTATGGTCAAAGACTTATTTTTAAAGTTTTTTATTTTAACTTTTTATGTAATATTCATGTCTTATAAATTATTGGTCAATTAGATGCTAACTACCAAGGTTTTCAACTCCCAATGGTCACAAGATTTCAAAGGTTGAAGGCTGCATAATATACATATTATCAGTAGTTAACCATCCTAGAACATAAATAGGAAAACCCAGTTATTATTATTATTATCATAATAATTTAAAAGTCTTAATACTGAATATTCTTTTGATGTCCGTCGTATGTTTATTCTGTAAGCTTAAATTTCATATTGAATATCTCCATTTTCCACATCCTACTATAGTAACTAAAATTAAAATTATGAACCCGTAGTACACCTGTCCAGTTATATACTGTATTGACTGTTTTAAATTGCTGAAGAAAAGCTCTGGCTTTTTTTGCTTTAAGATTTTCTGGGAATAAGATTTTACGAGTTGATCACGGACTGATATCAGTTAGAGAACTATTGAAAACCAGGGAGTACTGGACAGCTGCTGTTTCATCCTAGTTTGAGAATCATCGGCAGTTCGCACCCACTGGGATTCGAACCCTTACAAACCAAACTTTAGAAAATAAGATTTTAAACATTAGCGTATTAGTTAAGATAAAACCATAGCTTTCTGAGCAAAAATACCTTATAAACATGCCAGTGAAATGGTAACTAGAATGATTTTATATGCTGTTAGATGGTTGGAGGTCAAGGCAAGAAGCATTGGACTTAGGTTTCATGCCTTTTGGCAATTATCAGCAATTTTGACAACACAATAAGAAGACGTAGTTTATCTGAAACGTGTAATGTATTGGTGCAACACATTTCGGACATTCTGATCACACATGTACTTGTCATACACAGTTTTAATATAATACAAGAAGGCATGAATAACTACAATACAGGTCAGATTGTATACAGGTCAAGGTCACAAATAGTGGGTGGGGAGACACAAAAAGTGTGGGTAAGAAAGATAGAAGGAGAAAAACAAGACAAAGAAGGGGTTAAAAATATTATGAAGTAAATTGTTCTTTGGTTCTAAATTGGATTATCAGTATTGGATTATCAGCAAGACATATCTACAATATTGACATTTGGTACTACCTGTTGTCCAATCATAGTATCTATTACAGTCCCACAGAAGATGAATCGTGGACCCGAATAGCTCACTTGTGACGTTCAAATTTGAGAAGCAACAAGAATTCCTTGAGTGTTGAATACACTCCTTGATGACGAGTGCCAAGAAGCACAAATCCTAGGTCCAAGGCTTTCTACCGATTGCCTACAACCACCCAATACCAATTTGTAGTGTACGGTGATGGCACTCAACTTCTGCTGATATAATTCAGTCTGTAAATAACAAAGGACTAGACATATGACATTAGTTACTACGTAGTATCTAGTCAAAAGATTTTATGTCTAAAGAGGCTGCATCCTGAATATAAACCATTAACTGCTATTATTATATTCACATTACATTGCTGATGAAATTAGGATATTTGTACTGCTACTAAATATTTTTCTAATATACATACTGAAATTATTATTGTGCTATTGCTTATTTTCTCTTCTGTTAAAGTTGCTACGTCAAAAGAATGGTCAGATACGCGTAAAACTAGCTGACTTCGGATTGGCAATTGTTGTAAAACGAAATATGTTCACTGTATGCGGAACTCCAACATATATTGCCCCTGAGATTCTACAAGAATCAGGTAGAGGTATTTCTTTAAACCCTTTATTGCATTATACACTATTGCTTACTGTCAATTTTCGTTGACATTAAGTCACATGTTACTAATACTTGTTACGAATAGCTCACTTGATTGTGATAAAATAATAAATGTAATTGTTTGAATCTTAACTAAGTCGCTGTGGAACACGCCAGCTCTTTGTGCTTCCAAGACAATGTATACTTTGGTGAGCCAATTTTCTGTCAGATAAGTAATGTCACCACAGAACTGTGGTACTAGTTTGAATGTGGGATTCAACCTTGATGTTTTCTTTCTCCGGAAAATGGTCATTCAATTTTTGACGAAATACATTGTCTCTATTTTTATATTTTTTCACGAATTGGTATAAGTTAGAGAAAACACTCAAAACAAGTGAGCACTCAGTAGCTGTTTCGTTTTACTTTAGGAATCTACAGCAATGTGCGTTCATGATCGCACCAGGGAACGAACCCAGGACCTTCAAGTTACGAGACCAATATCGTTGACCATTTCGCCATTCGGGTTAGAACTCAGTGACTGGTGAACTCTAACTTTATCATTACGTGATACAGTCCTACCCTAAACCAGTGCCCCAGATGAGCATCCACTTCATTTTGACGTGGTGAACCCCATGGCCACGAATTTTCTGTATAGCCTGAGGACACCTATTCAGCAGCAATCGATGGGGTGGTGATTGATATTGAGACAACAGGATTCTTGGCGATTCGGATTAACTTCAACTGTCACGATTCAGTAACGGTGGGAAGGTCGTGTGTTTGATCCCTGGTGGGGTTGCAGATGCGCACTGATGAAGAGTCTCGAAGTGGGACGAAACAGCTCTCAGTGCATTCTGGTGTTGGTTGGTGAAGGAATCTAACAACTGAGATTAAAGCGAATCTCGACAAATCCCATAGTCTGAAAATATACTATGTTTTGAATTTTTCACCCTGACTTAATTTAAAGGCGAATATTTCAACTCAACCCAAGATACTAGTACTCATCGATTACTAGTTGCAATGATCCTGTGTGCAGAGTTATTCAGACTAATGATTTTTCGTGGAAAATAATCACTTGAGTAGATAACAGAATTGGTTATTTTTGTTAATTTTTTTAATTCCTATAACTGATTGCATTTAGATCAAACAGAACGATAGTAATTTAAGAATTAAATTTCAGGTAGATAGGATATAGTTTATGAGACTTCGTGAGAGCATCAAAATTTTTCATACTTTTGGGTCACGCTTATCTCTTGAAGTTGCATGGTGGTGTATATGGATTTTTTAAGAGTGGTAATCGGTTGTTTTTCAAGTGTTTTAGGTTTTGTGGCGCCTGTTCTATGAACTATGGTTTCACGTGACACCTTTACACGTTAACTGTATAGAACTCATTTAAATTCAGCTTTTTCATGCTACATCTCATAAGATTATTATTGTACCTCCATGTTTTGTGTTTGTGTGTCTTAAGTAAAATCAGTCACGTTCGCTTTTTTAACGCTTTATTTCATTCACTGCATTGGTTTTTTTATTGCTGAAGAAACAATTTCTAAATAATGGAGAAAACCTATATCCCAGGTAGATGATTTTAGTACTGTCACTTTCTGCTGATTCGGATGTTTTAATTGCATATCTTCCAATGTCTTCCTGGGTAGCCTCTTTAGCGTTAAATTCATCTAACCCCACAGTTAAATAACTCCGTCTCAGAGGACTCAACAACATCAAAAAAGTATTAATTAGAACGATTATTTGTATAGTAATGAACCAACTCATTATTACTATAGATGCTTTAAAATAATAATTATATTATATTATTATTATTGTTTCCTTTAATTCCTAGAGGAACATAGGGCTCCAGCCGTGCGTCTCCATTGCTTTCGGCTCTCTGCTAGAGTCTTCACCTGGCTCCATGTCTGCACACTCCTCCAAGTCACTCTTGGACGACCAACTCGCCGCTTCCCTTTCGGGTTCCACTCGAGTGCTTGTCTAGTGATATCACTTCATGGTTTCCTCAGAGTATGGCCAATCCATCTCCATTTCTTCCCGCCTATTTGTTTCATAATCGGTTCCTGGTTGGTTCGTTCCCAAAGATCCCTGTTGCTGATCTTTTCTGGCCATCTGATCTTGAGTGATATTGAGCGAAGACAACTGTTAATGAAGGTCTGTAGTTTGTTTGAGATGCCCTTCGTGACGCGCAGTGCAAGTCTCTGATCCGTATAGTAGCACTGACTTCACATTGGAGTTGAAAATCCGGATCTTACTTTTGATTCTGAGTGCCGCTGACCTCCACACAGACTTGAGAGTAGTGAAAGCTTGTTTTGCTTTCCCGACCCTTGCTTTGATATCCTCGTCAGTTCCGCCTGTAGTTGAAACGATGCTTCCCATGTAGGTAGGTAAAGGAGGTTGTTTCTTTCAGGTTCCTCCCATTTATGCTGATCGTTGTCTGTTGTTGTGGTTGCTGTTGGTGGTGTTGCCCAGGAATCTTCATCACCTCTGTTTTCTCTATGTTCACCTGAAGGCCTATCTTCTCTGGGTGCTTCTTCTGCCAACTTGTTGCTTTTCACTTGCATATCTTCCATTTTATGAGAAATCAGACATATATTATCGGCGAAGTCCAGGTCCTCCAAGTTTTTGTATGTCCATTTTATGTGTGTCTCTCCGTTGCCCCCTAACTCTGTGTCATATTATCCAATCTACTGCAATCAGGAAAATCATTGGAGATAGTAGTCAGCCAGCTTGTCTTACTCATGTCTTCACTTCTTCAAAGGATCCCATAAGTTTCCCGTTGTGGATTACTTGGCATGCAGCATGATCATACAACTGTTGGATGAGATGTGTAATTGTCGGTGGCACCCCGTAGTAGCGAAGTAGTTACCAAATCACCTCTCGATCGACGCTGCTCTATCGAAGGCTTTTTCAAAGTCGATGAAGTTGAGTTAGAGAGGTGACTGCCATTCCAAGCTTTGTTCAATGATGATCCGTAATGTGGCGGTCTGATCAATGCATGATTTGTTTCTCCTGAATCCAGCCTGTTCCGGTCGAAGTTTTTCATCCAGGGCATGTTTGATTCTCTCCAGGATGATGCGGCTCAGTATTTTGCTTGGGATGGACAGGAGCATAATTCCGCGCCAGTTCTTGCATTAACTTAGGTCTCCTTTCTTTGATAGTTTGAATAAGTATCCTTTCTTCCAATCCTCGGGTACTTTGCCTTCTTTCCACACCTTCTCCAGTAGTGGCGTCATCAAGTCCGCTGTTGTCTCTGGGTCCGTTTTCAATGATTCTGCTGGGATTCCATCTGGTCCTGCTACTTTTCCAGCTTTCAGCATCTTGATTGCCTTCAGGACTTCAGATTCCGTCGGGGGGTTGGTGTTCACTGGAAGCTATGTCTCCGTTGTTGATATTGCTGGGCGCGTTGTAGGTGGTGGTCGATTTAGGAGTCTTTTGAAGTGTTCAGCCCAGTGTTTCCTTTGCTCCACTTCTTTGGTGAGTGAATTTCCGTTGTCATCTTTCACCGGCTTGATTTGTGTCAAACGTTTGCCCGATAGGTACCTAGTAGTTTGTTAGAGTGTTGCGAGGTCTTCTTTGCCTGCAGCTTGTTCTGCTTCCCTTGCCATGGTTTCATAATACTTTCTTTTGTCTTCTCTGGCACTCTTCTTTACTCTTTTGTTCAGTGATAATAATAATAATGATAGATTTATTCAAGACAATATTTTAACACATGGTAAAGAAAATGCAGCATATTTAAACTGAAAAATATCTGCTCTTTTTACAAGGCCTCCATGCTAAACAATATTCGAAAGTACATAGTGTGATGCTCTGTTGTTCCGTCTGCTTTTCCATAATTTTCTTCTAGAAGTGCTCTGCATTACAGTGACAGCAAACCAAAACTGTGCATGAGTTTATGCAGAAATCCAAAAACGTGAATAGGTGATTAAAACAGCAATAAAAAAGAAGAGATTATGCTATAAAATAGATGGAAATTTAGGTAGCCCAGTGATTCACGCAGGCCACCTACAATACAAATTCATGAAAAAACAATTTTATATGTTCAACTTTGAGGCCTGCCGCCTATATATGACTGGATGAAACACCATTTAATGCTACAGACACTAGCAAGAAATCTGAAGCCGTTCGTTTAAGTGCATGACGAAAACTTTTTCATTTCAGAGTTTAATGCTAAATATCGAAGAAACACACAAATGAGAACAAGAAGAATTAGAGCGAAAAATTGCTTTTAATAGATTCTTCTTCAAGCTGTACAGTTATAAGTTCACTTATTTTAACATACAATAGCCAGTGAAGGCCAACTAGAATCATATCAGAAAGTGTATTGTGCAACAAGTACAAGATGGAATAATAGTCACTTTTGATTACCAACTAAAATATGCGTGATCAGTAAGAAAATGAGGTAAAATGAAATGAATACATCTACCTTTCAGAAGGAGATTCTACCAGATCTGGATTTCGCATGTGTATGATTCATAGTTTAATTTCACACAAACTCGAAGAAGTGCAGGCGAAAACCAACAAACTGACTAAAGAGGCTGGCAGAGAAGACAGGACTGCAGGTGAACATAGAGAAGTGGTAGATGGGGATAATGAAGATAACAGACGAAACGCAACAACAAAAACCAGCACCAATCACCATAAACCGGGAGGGGTTACCTCCTTCACTTATCCAGGAAGCATTGTTTCAACCACAGGCAGGCAGAACGGATGAAGATGTCAAAGCAAGACAGCCAGAATCGGAAAGGCAAGATACGCCTTCATCAACCTGAAACCAGTTTGCAAATCCTCTGCGCTGCACTCAGCCAGCATAAACAACAACATTCAGATTCTGTTCAACATAAATGTGAAGTCTGTCAGTCAGTTCTTCTATACGACTCAGAAACTTGCACTGCGCGCCCGTCGCAAAAAGCATTTCCAAAAAGTCACTGCAGACTTTCACTAACAGCTGCCTCCTTCAATGGTTCCACATTGAAGACCAAATGGCTGGCCAGCCGGCAAGAAACAATTAGCAACAAGAAACTATGGCTGACAACAAACCAAGCAAGGGCTGATCGTTTAACAAATATGTAGGAGGAAATGGAGATGGATCGAGCATATGTTGAGACGGTTGAATGACATCACGCTATCGCCAGGACATCTCTCGAGTGGAACCTCAATGGGAAACTACGAATGGGTTGTCCTAGGGCGACATGAAGGAGATCGTATGAGCTAGAGGAGGCGATCAGAGACGACGGGCAATCGTAGACCCATCTGAAGAGGACAGCAGAGAATAGAAGAAATTGGAGATGTGTTCTTGAAGTGCTATGTTCTACTCGGAACCCAAGGGAATAATAATAATGAAAGAATACTTGTGTTTTGTGTGAATTATTTAGTAGGGGGTTGCATTTGTATGGAGAATTTAACAAGTTAACATGGAAGAACAGCACTTGGATTCTCTATTAGATTATGATTCCATCATAGAATGGTTTTATTTGATGAAACTGGACAGTATAAGATGGTTTGAGGCAATTGGCAGGAAGCCTTGCACGACCTAGATTTCGTGCTAGTTGGCACTCGTTAGCAAGACGTATCTGCAACCTTGAAGGAACTCATGTCCCTTCTGAGATTCGAACCCGCGTCACCCAGTGCTGCAGTCAGAGATGTTACCACTGGACAGTATTACTCAGTGAACTGGTTTCAAGCACAATTTATCGCTCATAATCCTATCAAGGCGATCACATAACTTTCAAACTTAATTTATACAGTCGCATCATTTTGATCTTATTGACAGCAATATTTTCCATTCCTCTGGTAAATAATACTGTATCACTTTATGTTTTTATCAAGTGAAAATCATTCTATAGTGAAAATAAGTTAAACCTTCGTGGCATAAACTTAATCTGAACCGGTATATTCGAACTGATGATTAACATTTATCTACTTTTGCTGTCACTTACTCTGCCAATCGATTTACGCCTACTTACTTATTTTCTTATCTTTCTCTTTTTTTATTAGGTTATGGTTTAGAAGTAGATATGTGGGCATTGGGAATTATAACTTATATTATGTTGTGTGGATTTGCTCCATTTCGTAGTCCTAATCGAAGACAATCAATGTTATTTGAAAGTATCAAGCGTGGTCAATTTGTATTTCTTAGCCCATATTGGGATAATATATCTTCATGTAAGTTAAATTTCGTATTTATGGATATTTTATCAACATTACAATATGTAATGATATAGACACTAGTCACACTTACTCGTATACCGGCTACTTTTTAGTTTATTGGTGTTTTGGACGTTTATTAGCCAGCCTTGACTATATAAGCAACAATAATTCCATGAAATAGCCTAAAGCAACTCAACTGGTTGGTGTAATCATTACTGTATTTCAGCAGAAAAATCTCAGGGAAACTAGTTTCATACGTAACTTTTTCAAGTTTAATGCAATTATTTCACAATATACTTTGAGTGTATAACAAAATATGGTCAAACTAAAACGTTCAACGCACTTTTGTTTAGTTAAAGTGAATATAAACCAATATCACTGTCGGAAAGTATATTTAGTAATTAAAATTCTTATGGAAAGTAAATATTTACCACCTACCGTCTTATTTAGTTTCAAGATTTTAATCTCAAGCACTTGGAAAATGACTTATCTAACATTAAATTCTGTCAGCTTACACTTAGTATTTGTAGGTTAGTGATTGTGAGACAATATTATTTTCTAAGGCATGAAAGTGTTCTAAATTGAAGTGAATACTCTGAGATTATATATGTCCAAACCAAGTTCACTTTTAACAGTTTGAAAAAATTTGGGCATTGGGTATATTATATTCATTATAATAAAGGTTTTTGTATTTCCCAATGAATGAAAAACAAAACGATATTGCTGCTCTTACTGACGTTTCGCTATTTAATGATAATAGCTTTATCAAAGTATTATTAAACCGGAATTTACAAAATCTCAGCATATACATAACAAACAGTTAGGGGGTGAGAAAATAGATTTAGGTCAAGTTAAAGGGACATATTGAAAGTAAAAATAGCGATGAAGATAACTAAACCAAATAACAAAAGTAATAGTACGTTTGTTATGATATCAAAATAAAGTTTACTAACTTGATCATCGTTCGTCAGTCTGGGGTCATTTTTAGTTGTCAAGTTGGTCAATTGGTAAAGATAACAAAATCAAGTGTGGATTGTTGGATTTGATCAGTGTTTAAAATTATAAAGGCAGTGTGTGTTTACATAGTGAACTTGCTTATCACATTCGTGTTGATTTTGTCACTTGATGGGGGAGGGAGGTGTTTTAACCAGGTCAGATTCTGTTTTAGTCCGTCATTCCTATTCAGGCAATTTGGATTCCACTTGATGTGAAGTGCTTCTGATATTAGACGTTCTTTGTGATTTCTGAAATTTTTCTGGATTATTTCAACATTGTCAAAATCAATTTTGTGGCCTGATTCTATAGCATGTAGACCTATGGCTGATGATTTTTCAAGTCTTTGTAGTTCAACAGGATTTCTCGGTGGTCGAAGAGATGCTCTACGGTGTTCATTTCTTCTGATTTTGATTTCTCGAGATGTTTGTCCGATGTATATCGCATCACATTCCAAGTATTTTATTTTATAGACACAATTAGATAGAGAATCTTTAGGGATTTGGTCTTTTATATGGACAAGGTTGCTTTGAAGTGTGTCTGATGTTTTGAAGAAAACTCTAATGTCGAGCTGATTGAGTACTCTTCTGATATCGTCTGACGTTTCTGCTCTATATGGAATGACGACCGTTGATGTCCATGTTTTCGGAATGCGTTTTCGGCCATACTTAATATCTGTGTTGATTTTGTTGATGAAGTTCCATGGGTAGTTGTTTTGCTTGAGAGTTTTAGTAATGTTTGATATTTATTCTTCTTTTTTTTTCTCATCGGTCATCAAAGAGTGTGTGAGATTACGTCCATCAAGCTCTTGAAAATAACAATAGGTTTACATCCAGTAGATATGAACCAACGAACATTTCTCAGTGATCCCATGGGTTTGAAAACTGAGTCCTGTGAAGAATGCTGGTATTTCAGTTTATTCTGAAAAGGTGAACAGATTCAAACATTCAGTAAAAACCAATGTCGTAAACGAAAGACAATTTAGACTTAATTTACATACTTATTTCATGTTTATTCTGTATTGTGTTTTTTCTCTCCATTAACTAGGCGCTAAAGATCTGATCACTGCCTTACTAGTCGTAACGCCAAAGTCTAGACTAACAGCTCGAGAAACCTTGATTCATCCATGGGTATTTGGTTTAGGTTCACCTAGTTCATCTGAAGAATTCGAGAAACGTCGACTAGACTACCAAAAGGAGTTGGAACAAATACAACATACAACTAAACAATCAAACATTGAAAAAATCACAGGCAATTTAATCAATAACTACCATACTACTAATAAAAGTAACACTAATGAAAGTAACATTAATGCTATTAAAAAGGTAGAATTACCAAAGGTTGTGAAAATGAATGGCGTACAAGATTAAATCATTTAATTAGTTTGAATTATTTTCATACTAAATGTGATCTCACACACACTCCCACCCAACTACTTAAAAAGCATATGCTGGCGACGATCTCAGCCTACTTTGTAATTCTGAGGACATCAAAAGCATTTATCACTGTTATTACAACAAAAAAAGAAATAACTGTTTGCCGCTTTTTATTTTTCTCAAATGTTTCTACTCAGATACATTGGAGTCGGGTAAATAAATGTTTGTAGATTTTCACAAATATTTCAAAGGACAAAACAAAAACAAAACAACTTCTTTTTCTTTCTCACTATCTTCCAACCATCTTTTTTTCTATTCATGTTTTATTTTACCATGTCTTTCATTGGTTATTCAATACACATAGATTGTTTTTACGCTTAGAGAAAGAGAGAGATAGAAAGTATCAGTTAATCTACAAAGATATCCTTCCTATTTTCTTTTATTTAAATAATTAAATTCTAACTTAAAGAGAGAAGAAACACAGAGTCTATGTAAATGACATCAAAACAATTCAATGTGTGCTTCCTTTCACTTCTATTGTATTCATAATGTTGAAGTAATTTTACCTATTGAATCATGTAATTATATTTATACTGGGTTTTTTTTTTCAATGCCATATATATATATATACACACAATCATTTGTAATAATCATGTTCAGGTGTCTTCTTTTGTTATGAATGCTACTCTTCTTTGATTTTACTTCTTGATTTCGCTGATTTCAGATTATTATGTATGATCAAAGTGATTTTGAATTTATCACAGTGTATGTTTGTACTTTATCATTTCACTTTATAATTTTCAGGAGTTATTATCATTTTCAAATCAGATTATTTGAAGAAGTGTAAACAATTAAATGCTGAGATAATATGGAGAATTATTATTATTCTCTTGGGTTTCAAGTAGAACATTAGGCTTTAACAACACATCTTTACTTTGTTCTATTCTCTGCCGTCCTCTTCAGATGGATCCATGATTGACTATCATCTCACATCTCCTCCTCCAGCTCATACGATCTCCCACATGTAACCCCCAAACTCACCGACGACCAGCTCGTCACTTCCTCGTGAGATTCCACTCCAGCGATGGTGTGATGATAGAGCGATGTCATTTGACGGCCTCTTTAACATTTGGCCAATCCATGTCCATTTTCCCATTCATATTTGTTGAGCAGTCAGCTCTTGCTTGGTTTGTTGTCAGCCATAGTTTCTTGTTGCTAATTGTTTCTTGCCAGCCGGCTGGCCAGCCATTTGATCTTCAGTGCAGAGCCATCGAAGAGTGCAGCATGTTGAAAATGAGGCAGTAACTCACCGAAAAAAGACATTGCTAAGTGGTCGTGCTAATTCATGAATTGGCAGAGGTTAGAATTCATGGACTGGCAGTTGAATTGGGTCCCAGTGTATGAACAGTCTACTAGCTCACCTTGTAACCAGAAGGTCCTGGGTCCGAACCTCATTGGTGGGTGCATTCTGTTAAACAGTTGCAAACTATGAAGAAACAGCTGTCCAGAACTCCCACATGGTTTTTTCCAATGTTTCTCTAACCGATGTCAGTTCATTATGAAATCCCCTGACCAATCAAACAAAAAAATCCCCACAAAAAACAATACTTGAAAATAATAATTATTATTGTCTTACAATTGAGAAAATGTAAAAAATTATGTAGTTATGAGAAGAAAATCAGGGAAAAAGATTTATTAAATAATTTTGATTTATAAGAATATAGCAGGTGTGCATATACTGTATCCTGGTTGATGTTTAAGTTATAAGTTTAATTATCTCGATAACCTTAACCGTAATTCATCAATTACAAATGAGAGGGTTTGTCTTTTCCGTTTAGATGTAAGTTGTTTTCATACACTGAAGAAATACTATCGGCTGATTTATTCCATTTATGACCTAGTCTGTTCTACCAAAATGAGTATGGTTATATAGTCGCGCTACAATCATAAATCGGTAGAAGTTAGAATACATGTACCACTGAGTTAAGTCCCAGTGACTGAATGGTCTGCGAGTTCATCTTGTAACCGAAAGATCCTGAGTCTAAACTCCGGTGAATGAGTACTGATGATGAGTCCTAGACTACGACGAAACAGATGTTCAGTACTGCTTGGTTTTTCAGTGATTTTCCAATCAAAATCAATCTGTGGTCAAACTTGAAACGAATCAGATTCCTACAAAATAACTTTTGAAAATATTTTCATTAGCTAACAAAATAAATGATCAACCAGGTCGGAAATTAAATACCTAGGCGTCATTCTATCTACTGATCTCTCCTGGTAGTCTCATATCTTGGCGATTTCTAAGAAAATATTCCGTCTTACCTTCTACATCAAGAAGTTAAGACATTCTGGTATAACCCTTACTCCTACAATTCGTTAACTCTCGCACTCTGCCTATTATTATCTATTGTTCCCTCTTAGTTTTTCCCGGGCTACTGAAGAAAGACTATAACATATTACGCAGGATGTTAAAGGTTGTCAGCAGGGTAAGCAACGTGTTACTTAACCATCCTGTTAATATTCTGGTTGACACGCACATGGACTCATGTGAAAAATGGGCCAAATCCATTTTATCTAACTCACACCACCCTCTTCACTTACAACTCTCCCCTTGAATCTCATCAGGTAAAACCAGAAGCCTATATAGAAAACTATATGCTCGCACCAGCAAGTACAAAAACTCAACCATACCCTACTTAGCTCGTGTTCTGTGTGATAAAGAAAGCATTAGGTGTGACACCTATAATTTATTAAATAGTCAGTAGAACAACTGGACCTCGTCTTTCCAACTAATATCATTTATAGGTAGAACATTTTCTTTCTTTCTTTTCCCTTTCTCTCTTTTTTTCTCTTTCTTTCCGTTATGTGCTGCTTTGTTTCTTTCTTCCGCTTACCCCAGTAAATATGACAGCACCTACTTTTCTAACACCTTCAAACACTGTTTCAGCTTTTCTTTTGCTACCGATATGCCAATGTGTTGTTGTAATAATGAACTGAGACTACCCTTAATCTATGTAGAATTCTATTTATTGATGATGTACTAACTGGATGCAATACTGTAGTAAAAATGCTGAGAATTCCATTCTGTATCACAAGTACTGTTTTGGAATAAAGTAAATTATTATTATTATCCTCTGAATCTGCTGATCCAAGTCCTATCAATACACTATTTTGAGTGGTCTAAATTTTCAGCCAGAAATCTCTTAGCCTAACTAACCTTTCTTATTCGTCTTAAGTTCCAAACTATTTTATCAATACATAATCATAGGCGAGTAATTAGTTTAAAAATCACTGATTACACCATCAGAAATGCAATTTCGTACTTCTGTAAACATGCATTAATCACATAAAGTAACAATAACATGAGACAGCTTAGTAAATTTATCAAGATTAGAAGAATAATCTGTGAGTGGAAAATGAATGATTCACGATACCCTCATTTGGTACACAGACATCAGATGGAACTAAATACGGGACTTCATTCTTAAAAATGCATAATTAGTATACTGTTATAGTTTGAACTGTTAGTGTTTTGCTCAAATTTATATATATATATATATATATATATATATATATATAGTGCATTATGCTAATGCACTCTTATTTATCTCTGATTTAGGGATGCTAAATTTATCGTGCTGCTTTTATCGTAGGTGTTATTTATCGAAACATTACTAATAATCACGTTAACAATGTTGATTTTTCAATTGTGTGTGTAAGGTCATTCTATCCATTCCATTCACCTATTCGAGGTCATTGATGACACAATTGTATAAAGTACGAAAATTTTAACTTTTGTACTTAAGTAGTTATCAGTTAGTTGCTTAATTAAAAGATTAATCGAATTTCATTAGCATAGAGTATTAGGAACTAGAGTGTAAAGGTGCAATTTGTGGTACTTAGAACAAATGACGCTTAGATTTCTCATTTACAGAAATAATAAAATAAATGGTAGTCAGGACTCATATGAACTTGATGAGAGAGAAATCATTCTTAACAATTTTATGTAGTTTTCTGTTCCATATTAGTTGATCTTATATTGTATAGCCTGACAAGATTATATCTATGTAAACGCAATACTCTGAATTTGGTTGATGTACTTCTGCTGGTTCGTATTGTTTCAGTTTCTAGTGATACTGAAATCTTTCCTAAATTCTAAATCGGTATGGTGTGTTTTAAGCAGTGAACTCTGCAAATCCAAATCTGCTTGGTTCCAAGATTGGCGTGCAGTTCCATTCAATGGCTTTGAAAGCATAGTAAATGGTGGTGTTGGCTTTAATATGCTACTGATTATAAACTGTACTGAATACCACGAGGATTATGATTATTAATCCCTTGAGTTCAGAGTTGAACAAAAAGCTTCAACAAGACATCTCCATTTTCTTCCGCATATTTGTCGAGATGGAGGTTCTTGGTTGGTTCATTCACAGAGTCTCTTGTAGCTAATTCTGTCTGGCCATTCATCTAATCTTCATTATGGAGCACAGGCAACTGTTGACAAACGCCTGTAGTGACCTGCTGGAAATGCGCTTTGTGATGCTTTAAGTCTCTGATCCATGTTAAAGAAGTGACTTACCACTGGTGTTGAAAAATCCGAATTCTGTTCATTACGCTGAGTGAAATAGACCTCCACACTGATTTCAGAGTAATGAACGCCGGTTTGACTTTTCCGACCCTGGTTATGACATCCCCATTCGCTCTGGTGCCTGCAGCTGAAATGATGCTACACGGATTGGTGAAAGAAGTGACTTCTTTCAGATTTCTCCCGTTAATAGTGATTGATGCTTGTTCTTAGTTAAGTATCTTCATAACCACTATCTTTTCTATATTCACTTGAAGTGCTGTCTTCGTTACCTGCTTCTTCTGCCAACCTTTTGATTTTCGCCAGTTGATCTTCAAATTTGTGTGACATTAGACATAACTGATCCGCGAAATTTAGGTTTTTTTCTTATTGGTCCAACGTATGCCTGTTTTCTCGCTCCTCACAGGTTTCTTCATACTCCACTCCACCACAATTAGGAATATCATCGGTAATCGTGGGAAGTCTTGCATTACTTCTGTCTTCAATTCAGTGTCTTCGCTGAGTTCACTCTTGTGAATTGCTTGATATACGACATTGTCATATAGTTGGTAAATAAGGCCGACAACGGTTTTGAGCACTCCGTAGTGTTGAAACAGTTTCCCAATCTCTTAGTGATTGACGCTGTCAAAAACTTTTTCAGAGTCGATGAACTTGATGTAGCGATTTGCCGTCAGGAAACACTAACAGAAACTATACTTTAATTTTGATCACAAAAACTGTCATAGCAATGACTACTTGCAGGATTCTTGTATACATTTCATTTACACTCTGAAATGTATATTAGTAGACCTTCCAAATACTAGAACAAAATAAATATGAATAATTTTCAGGAATACGTTTGTAAAAGTTGTACGTGTTTCAGGTTAGATCGCGGATTGATATCAGTTAGACAACCATTAAAAACAGAGAGTACTGGAAAGCTGCTTCATCGTAGTTTGTGACTCATTGGCAGTGCGCACTTACTGGTTTTCTAATCCAGGACATTCCGGTTACAAGGCAAGCTCGTATACTGGGACTCGATTCAATGACTAGCCCATGAATTCTAATTTCAACCGATTCGTGATTTTAGCGCAACCACCAACCCCGTGGGTTAGTACTCCCGATGAGTCCCAAACTACGATGAAACAGCTGTTCAGTATTGCCTGATTTTCAATGGTTCTCTAACTGATATAAATCCATTGTCTAGTCAGTAGTCAGTTATGATTAACGTAGACATACACTACATAAGAATCACGATGATAGACATGTTTCTGAACTATAAAATAAATATATCCAGAAACTAGTTCACTAACAATACTGTTTTTTTAATGATTTAGCAACACGTTTTCTTTCTAAATAAAGTCGTTATTACTTAGCCATACTTAATATCAACACTTCCTATTTATTTTCTTATTTTAATCTTTTCTTGTATTGCTCAACTTCATTTTACTGTTCACCATACTGGAATCACTGGCGGTATAATACTTGTGCAATATCCAAGCGACTCAGTTATATATATTCACCTATTCATGGCCTAGGCGGTTACTTTTACTCTAGAAAGAAATTTTTCTTTGCTGCAACCGTCCTTTTGTCTTCCGATGATCTAATGGATATATTTTTGATTGCACACTAGTCAGTAACTAGTGTAATGTGTCTAGTCTTATCTTCGGTGCAGACTGAATTCTATCAGTCATGTTGTAACGACAGAAGGCAAGAGTCAGGCAACAGATCATTTATTAAGGAAATCAACGCATATTTATATATTTGCGTGTACATTACTATGGATATTTGAGTAAACAAACACAGTCTTCCGATTGGTTGTTTCTCACGTAAAGTTAATCTTTCATTTATTTTTGACTGTTTCTTGAATGTCAGATCATCTATATGTTAACCGCATCCGCCTACGCAAAGTCTGCTGTGGTCGGTTTTGAATCAATCTTTGTTCACATTTTCTCACGACAAATCTTGGAAACGTAAATATTGACGTAAATTACTGTCTATCATTTTGGCTAGTAGACAGCTCTCACCACAATGTTTGCAATGTGACCACCATGCTAGGCGGCTCACCATTATGGTGCACTGTGAATTGTTGGTATTAGATGGTTGGAGGCAATCTGCAGGAAGCCTTGGACCTAGGTTTCGGGCTAGTTGGCACTCATCAGCAAGGCGTATCTGCAACCTCTAAGGAACTGATGTCCCTTCTGAGATTCGAACCCGCGTCACCCAGTTCTGCAGTCAGAGACGTTACCACTGAGCTATTCAGGCTCGCGACTGACCTCCTGTAGGCTGACTGATAGAATTTAGTCTGCACCGAAGATAGGACTAGACACATTACACTAGTTACTGACTAGTGTGCAATCAAAAATATCCAATACAGTCCTACAGGAGGTCAGTCGCGAGCCTGAATAGCTCAGTGGTAACGTCTCTGACTGCAGAACTGGGTGACGCGGGTTCGAATCTCAGAAGGGACATCAGTTCCTTAGAGGTTGCAGATACGCCTTGCTGATGAGTGCCAACTAGCCCGAAACCTAGGTCCAAGGCTTCCTGCAGATTGCTTCCGACCATCTAATATTGTGTATATTTGTCCACAGATGCTTCATTTTTAGTGGCCACTATTTGAAACAGTGTCTGTCTTCATGCTAGAAGTTAGTAGTGGCTAGGAACACAATAATACAATACTGATTTGATTCATAACAGTTTGGGAGACTTATTCTGTTGTTTTACAAAAACTGACATACGTATTTGTGACATGAAATATGTCTGGTTGGCCTATTTTAATTAAATAGAGTAGACGAAATAAATGTATTCTGTTTCAGTTGATCGTCGACTGGTTGACTGGGACTTATGAAATTAAGTTAGCCAATGTTTGACACAGAAAATTACTTTATCTTCAAATGTTTCTAAACGGATGCCCAAGAAACTGTAATGTATAAAGTGGCTCAAAATCCATCATAATCTGACACTTGAGACTCTGATTAGAAATGAGTGTATAGAATTTACTTATCTCAGTCTAGCAACTATGCAAAATTCTGCGTATATGCAAAGAACAGTCCATTTCGCAAGCAAAAGGATAAATGAAAAGCGAGTATAGCCAACCTTCAGGTGAATGTACAACTACTAGTGGTACAGCTTATTAACAAGCAAACAAAAACATGCGACAAACAAAGGCTTGTAGCATCTTCATAAGTCTCTATTTCCCCATTTTCCAGCTAATGTTTCCCGGTACGTCATGAATTATTGCAGACAATTCTTGCTTTAGTTCATAAAAGGTTATGTGAGAGGTGATTAAGCTACCAAGGCAATTTCCAGCCTCATCAATGGACGAAAATAGATTATGAATTTAATAACATAACGCACAGGTTTATTTTAGCTATGAAATATTGTTAAAGGAGGATGCAAACTCCATAACACAAAGAGTATTGCGCACCGATAAACCATTTTAGCATCTTTGTAATCAGGCATGAACATAGGTAAAACAGAGGTGATGAAAATTCCTGGGCAACACCACCAACAGCAACAACATCAACAACATTAACAGACAACAATCAGCATAAATGGGAGGAACCTGAAAGAAACAATCTCTTTTACCTACCTGGGAAGCAACGTTTCAACTACAGGCGGAACTGACGAGGATATTGAAGCAAGGATCTGGAAAGCAAGGCAAGCTCTCATTACTTACAAGTCTGTGTGGAGGTCAACAGTACTCAGCATAAAAAATAAGATCCGGATTTTCAACTCCAATGTGAAGTCAGTACTACTATACGGATCAGAGACTTGGCGTGTCAAAAAGAGCACCTCAAACAAGCTACAGACCTTCATTAACAGTTGTTTTCGCTCAATACTCAAGATTAGATGGCCAGCCAGAAAAGATCAGCAACAGGGATCTCTGGGAGCGAACCAACCAGGAACCGATTGTGAAACAAATATGCAGAAGGAAATGGAGATGGATTGGTCATACTTTGAGGAAACCACCAAGTGACATCACTAGACAAGCCCTCGAGTGGAACGCGAATGGGAAGCGGCGAGTTGGTCGTCAGAGCAAGGGTGACATGGAGGACGTCATGTGAAGAGGAGATGAAAACGTGTGGGCAGACTTGGAGCCAGGTGGAGACTCTAGCAGAGAACAGAACGCAATGGAGACGCACGGCTGAAGCCCTATGTTCCTGTAGGAATTAAAGGATACAATAATAATAATATAATAATAATCAGGCATGAAATCAAAGTATATATCAATCACTGTTACATCTTTTATTGTATAAAATAGAAACACATCAGTTTGAAATAAATACATTGAAGTAATAATCAGGTCAATAATCATCACATTAAGAATACAATTACAAAATATCCACATTTGCATAACATTTCATAAAATGTATATATATATGTAATGATTATCGATCGTAATCAATTCAATATATTAATTATTCTTAAGAAAAAAAAACCCACATTATATATGTACAAGAAAGACATTGTATCTCACAACCAAATAAGAAAAACAAAACAAAAAAACAACAACGCATGAACCCACAGAAATGGACAGAAAGCACCAGAGATAATGAAAGTATTGGTAAAAACGGAAAAAAAAGAGAACCAGGAGTGCAAAATGAGTATCACTTTCACCCTGTCTGTATTAATATATCAACAACTATTGTCAATGCGATTCGAGCATATGATAAATCAACCTGATACAAATTCGAATCATCTATCTTCGAAATACACGTGAAAACAGAATAAACTAAGAGAGGTTATCGTGAAAGATTAGCACCGATAGCACATGTACGTTTAAAAAAATATGTAGATTTAAATTGTTTTCTATTAGAAGAATACGATGAAAAACGAAATGTACAAGGGAAGTTTGAACTTTTTGATAATTTTTTAGACGACGTAAATGATTTAAAAGGGATCTATGAGTTTCTTACTACTCAGAAATAATCAGCGTACAGTGAGTGTCTTTTGGAATAAAACATCATTTATATCTGAAAATCAGAATAAATTTATCAATTGCTGATATCATTAAGAAATATTACCTTAGTTTTCTTGTGGCTTAGTATGAGAATAGGTTAATACTGTGTTCAAGAAAGCACAGCTGCTCTAGGAATTGAAAAGTTCTACCTGGATCAATGCAGTCTCACATATGCATTCTGTACACGAAAAAGAAATTTATATATATGGATGAATGGTCAGGTCAGAATTATCAATGTAAAAAATAGTCATTATTTTTAGTTGAGTGCTGAGATTATATAAGTTTAAAAAAAGAACTCTGTTTAAAAATCAAAAATGAAGTAAATAAACAAAAAAAATAATGACACACATAATATATAAACGTGAAAATTCTAGTTTTCCAATTCATCGTAACACATTAGAATTTACATTTTAACAGGAAGATGAAAAGAAAACTAATTGATGTGTTCATTCATCTACTTCCCAATTTTTTTCTCATTTTTTTTAACTAAGTTAAAAATGCTGGATCAGAGTATAAAGTATACCAGTGTGTATATGTATGACCGGGACGAATTGATTTCAGCTGAATATAAATTTGTCCAAAGGGTATATTTTCACCGATATGAACAGCATGCCAAGCAGAAACTTCAACAAAACCACATTGTATATCATTCGGTATAAGATCGTAGGTGAACTGGTATTTCAAGCACAGTGACGACGAATCCGTCCGTAGATAAATACACACACATATATGGAAAAGAAAAAGAAAAGTAATTATACAATTATAAGCATAAATGAAGACTAAATAAACAGAGCATTCAAATGAACTGTCGTCAAGATTTGACAGAATAGTTCCAAAAGATTTGGGCGCTGAGTGAGAAGTAGACATTTGTAAAAAATTATATTTGTAAAATCTCAGTGAGATTGAAATGAGTAATTCCAACGTTTCGTTCGGCAATCTGGTCCGAACTTCTTCAGGGAAATTAATCGAAATTAACATAACAGAGGTTTATATATAAAAGGAACATCACTTGTCGCTAAAAACTTTGTCCAATCATGAGTCATTCAACAAGTATAATAAACAAAAGTTTATGAGCTGTAATCAAAATTTGACCTCGAACTTACAAATATTGGTCTACCTTTGTTAAACACTTTAAACAGAGTGTATATGTGTGTGGGTAAACTGTTGTAAAACATTTCTTAACGTCTCCATAAGAAGATTTGGACAATCGAGAATTTCGACCAAGTATTATTAATAAATAGTGATACATATCCCTTTTTTATTTATTAATAAGGATTTCCTATGCATCAGCTAACATCACGCCTTCATGTCTGTTCACACTGTTAGTATCTAGAATTTTATGATTAGACGTATTTTCAAAATTATGGTGTTTAGGATTAGAGTTTAGTAGAAGCACCCTGTCGGACTTATTGCTTTGTCTTCTTTCTGAAGATTGAGCTGCTTTATTCGACCTACTGGAGTTGTCAGGTGACTTGACAGCTACGGATTTAGGATATGCATTCTGTTGCAGACAACGGAGAGTGAAAACACGATGATTGTGCCAAATACACAGTTTCTTTGTTAATTTAATTCGATTGCAAAATTAGAAGAAGTTCGGACCAGATTGCCGAACGAAACGTTGGAATTACTCATTTTAATCTCGCTGAGATTTTACAAATATAATTTTTACAAATAAACAGAGCATTCATCCAAAGCTTCTCAGAGGGGAAAAAGCATGAAGTAATAGGACTATAGAGAGTTATCTTGTTACCTAGGTATTATTGTGAACAATAAGTTATGTTCAAAACTTAATCTAGTTAATGTTGCCGTTTCTCTGCATGCCATATCAAATAAACTATATTCTATAATATAATATCATGTACCGTCTGTTATCTAACTGATCATGTCAGTCAGCAGGACGAAATACATCCAGCATGTCTCTATTGACAAAAATTTATCATCTCATCGAACACAACCTATTAATTTAGCTTATACAATTCATTAAGTATCACTTTCTGAAATTTATTTAAATTATTTATTTAAACGCAGAAAAAATGGTACAATTTGGCACCAAGAAAGATGCGCCACACAATAATAATAAAACAACATAGATCAAAAGTAAAAAATATAAGTAGAGAACGGGTAAAGAACTTCATCTGGGAGTAGCAAGTTCAAAAATCATTCGTCAATTATTGTCGAAAAGGGAAGAAAGAAGGAAATTGCAACACGTTCGCCATTGATTACGATTCTTGGCCATATCTGATAACGTTTTGAGCCATCGATTCGGGCTATCTCGCGGACGCCAACCAGGGAGTCGTGACGCACCAACTGATGCTAATCTAACACAAACATCCTTCATCCCACGACGCCACGTCATGGACTGACCACCCCTTCACCTTTTCCATCCCGTCCCAGGGCTAGCGAACAGAAACCTGTACGGAAGTCTCTATGATGACATTCACAGCACATGTCCAAGCCACCGGAGCCGGTGTTTCCAGATGACGACACTCAATGAATGGTGATCTCCACTGTGTTCAAACACACGCCGCCAAACCTCAGAATTACTCACGCGATGATGCCAACGAACGCAAGCAATCCTGCGGAGACAGTGATGATCGAACACGCAGAGCCACCGCACATCCTCAGCTCGGAGAGGCCAGGTTTCACAGGCGTAAAGCAAGACAGCCCGCACCGAAGCATTGTATACCCGACCTTTGACAGCCAGGCTAACGTCGCGACGGCGCCAGAGGTGGCTCAAGGTGATGTATGCCACCCTAGCCTTCATTATACGGTTGGAAATCTCATCCGTCACCCCTCCGCCAGCACTCACACAACTACCCAGATACACAAACTTATCAACAACTTCAAGCGGTTCACCCGCAAGAGTGAGTGCAGGTACAGGCTCCTGCCAATCTTGTAACAGTACTTTGCACTTAGACGGCGCAAAGTACATACCATACTTACAGACACTGATCGCCAACTGATTAAGTGCGATTTGGGCAGCCTGCATGCTATCGCACAGTAAGACGATATCGTCTGCATACTCGAGGTCGAAAAGTCTATCTCCAGGTAGCAGATCTACACCACCTTCACGCACATCCTTCAGAGCTGACTCCAGAATGTCATCGATGGCAAAGTTGAAGAGAAATGGAGAGATTGGGCAACCCTGTCTAACCCCACTGTTGGTTGGGAACAGTGATGATAGTTGATTGTATGCTCTCACTACACCTGAGGTGTTTTTGTATGAGGCTTTCAAGATGTTAACAAATTTTTCAGGTACCCCCTTCTCTAACAGACAGTTCCAGAGCACAGTTCTGTCCAACGAATCGAAGGCAGCCACGACAAGGTAGCAGTTGTCGGCCGGGCTCTTGAAAGCATTCCATACTGCGTTCAATTCCAGCAGTTTGTCATTAATATCACTCGGTTACTACTGACTGATATGTGCTTGTGAAGTCGCACACAAAATAATATACACAAAAATCAATTATCAGAAAAAGAAATTAGAAATATACATTCGGATTAATTTCCTAATCATTGATAAGGCCACTCTGGATATCAAGAAAATAAAACTTGAAAGCATAGAGTATAAGGAGGCATAAAACAATGATGGCTTTAAAACAAAAACACCCAAATAAAAAGGGACTTCTAAAATAATAAAAGGATTTAAACGACAAAACAAATGAAATCAAAACTCATCTTGTAGTGGGTATTAATGAAATAATGACAACATACCATGACATTGAACGATGGAGAGCTGGAACGTTTTACAACGCTTGTTTTACGTTTAGTTGTTTTACGACGCCGACCAGAAAGTAAATAAACTTTTATATACACGTCTGGAGGTTCACTAGATCCAGGAAGATACTAAAATGTTGAGAAATAATAAAAATAATGGGAACAAATAAGTCTCTAACAATAAAAAAATCATTTTATGTCATTTTCTGAGTGGAAGAGGAGAACCTAAGTATTTATGCGTCGGTTGCTTGGCGGCAGAATCTTCGTGAACCACGCATGTGGTCTGGGATTCAATCCCCAGCCGATATATTCTTAAGCCTCACTGAGCCGGTAGTAAGCCAGGTAAAGAGGGAAGGTTGGACGTGAAGTTAGCAACGTCATGCCATAAAAATACAACCACTGCTAATGAAACTTCAAAAGTCAAGCTTGTAGCTCCTATGTTTCACCCGGAATTATTGTTATTGTTCCCTTGGGCTCCTAGTGGAACATAGAGCTTCAACTACACGTCTCCGGTTGCTTCTGTCTTCTGCTGTACTTTTCACCTGCACCCATGTTAATCCATACTGTTTCAACTCCTCTTCACACGATCTCCTCCATGTCACCCTTGGACCTCCCACTCGCCGCTTCCCTTTCGGGTTCCACTCGAGGGCCTGACGCTCCATGTCACCTAGTGGCCTCCTCAGCGAGTGTCCAATCCATCTCCACTTTCTCCTGCATATTTGTTGGGCGATTGGTCCACTCGGAATGCAAAGGAATAAAAAAGCACTAGTATGATTAGCCATGGCTCAATCTGATATGAAAATCTGAATCACAGGGGAATTTGGACCAATAGCCTAGCGGACTAGCATTTCGGAGGCAACTGGTTGAAATCCATCTGGCCAGATTTATTTTATCGTAAAATGAATCATATTAATAGTTGAAGCCTTTGCTTATCAACGTTTAATAGAATTCGTCTAGCTGATGTATAAATATTATTTTGTAAACAAGACGATGTCAACTGAATGAATGAAAATAACAAAGTCTTCTTCAATCGATTCAAGCTTTTCATCCCGAAACATTTCCGAGGCGCATGACCACTGCTGGAGTGAGGGTGGGAAATTACACGAATTTTGTCAGATGGGAAGATCTAAAAGCCGTACTCGTTTACAGACAGTTTAGTGTGGTGAAGCTTATGATCTCTATACGTAGATGTTTGTTACACTTCCCACTCAAATGTATTTAGTAATTATTATTATCTGGTTTTCACTGATTAAATAACTTAATTCGTTATAAACCAGTTAACAGTTGTGAAATGGCGTGAATTTAAAGTAAATAAACAAGAATTTGTGCACCAATAAAGTCAATAAAGCTTATAGACATACAGTAAATAGTCTCGTCTACAGGTAATATTCACTTGTGATTTCTTACTGTGTATTACAAGATATACTAAAAGATTCTCATTGATCAGGACTATTTTACTTAGCCTTCATTAAAGTATTTATGTTGTATGATTAACACCTTATAATTTTAAGCGGATATTCACCCACGCAAAGATTTAATTTAATCAAAATACGAAAGTGACGAACGCATCTGTTAAAAATAAGAAAGTTAAGTAACCTCCTGTTGTTTAAAGTGTTTATGTTTCATTTTTCTATGCTAAGTAAGATCTGCATTTATGCAATATATTTATACTTTGTAACAATAGTATCTTAGCTTATGAAAGAGAAATGGAATAAGACAGAATGAAGCCTATAAATACCTCAATCGACTCTTATGAGTCATACACAACCAGTGAGGTCCATCCACTCGGGAGTGAGGATGGAGTTCACGCCAATGAAACGGGTTGGTAGCGCTAAAATCACAAATTGTTATAAGTTGGAACTCATCGGCTGAACATTGAATCGGATCCCAATGGCTGAATGGTCTGCGAGCTCGCCATGTAACCAGGAGGTCCTGGATCCAAATTCCGATGGATGCGTACTGTGAAGAGTTCCAAACTAGGACGAAACAGTTGTCCAGTACTCACTGGTTTTCAGTGGTTCTCTAACTGGCCTATCCTGAAACAAAAGTATTATAAATTCTTTCCTATCAAGTTTATGTTTTTTCCATGATATGAAGGAATAATGTATGATATTTCATAATGTAAAGTAAACGTCAGCACACAGAGATAAATTGATGGTGGCTGAAAGAGTTTTTCCCTATGACGATTTAGATCTTTTGTCGAAAAGGCTTACTAATATCACACACGCTTTTCACCAAACAATTTTTGTGACTATCATTCATTCAGAATCTCTTTACATAAAACGATAATCTACATTCTTTTAGCTCAACTTCAGTGCAGCATTTCATCCCTCAACATCATTTATTACAAACATGTATTATTGTAATCTACGAATGTGATATTAGAAATAATTTGAAGCAATATTAACTGTGGAGTTGAACGTAGAAAGAATCACTGAATACTTCAAGTGCTAGTTTGAAGGGATTTGATTTGATTGGCTATAGGATTTCATCGTGAGCTAACATCGGTTACAAAACCACTGGAAAACTCGGGGTTACTGGACATCGGTTTCGTCCTAGTTTGGGACTCTTCAGAAACAGGTACCCCAGTGGCTGAATGTTCTTTGATCTCATTAGCTTTGTAACCGGAAGGTCCTGGATTCGAACCCCAAGTGATGTGTACTGACGAAGGGTCAGTACTTCCAGGTTTTTCAACGGTTCTCTAACCGATACCAGCACAGGATGAAATTCTGTAACCTACTTACTAATTGATGATGTAATCGAATTCCTACACTATGAACAAATTATAACATTTGTCTTCAAAGATTTTATCTGTTTTATTCCTCTGCTAAGCGTTTTGTTTCTCCGCTATGTGAAATAATACCTCAAAGTCTTCGAAATCAACATTTTGACTCCAAGACTAGAATATTTTTTTTATTCCTTCACGTTCCCAGTGGAACATAGGGCCTCAAGCTAGAGGTTTGAAGTTTCTGTAGTAGTGCTTATTTTTACAGGATGGGGTTGCTAGCCTCATGCCCAACCTTTCCTCTTCACCAAAATTATTTCTGGGTTAGCGAGGTAAAGGAGTACGTCGGCCGGGGATCGAATCCCGGACCATGTGCATGGTCGGCGAGCGTCCTAACCAATATGCCACTGACGCACTAAAATATTACTCAGGAGAAATAGATATATACACTTATTTAGTAAAACACACGCACATATACTTTCTTGTGTTGCTCAAAGTGAAAATTAGAATCTACAATTTTACGGAATACATCGGTGACAAGTTCACTTCAATAGACCAAGGGCTTTCAAACACTAACAAGTGACCACTTGACTTAATGTTCACTAGAAAGAATTAAGTTTTATTATTCTTATTATCAAAATTTAAATATCTTGTGAGAAACAAGACTTTAGCGTATATACACCTAATACCCTTTGAGAGAGAGATGAGACATTAAGCATCCTAAAGACTATTCAGTACAATGAAACAATATTAGCTGAGATTTTTCAGTACATTCTAAAAATTTAAAAAGATATTCGAACAGCTGAGATCTTCTTTCTTTAAAAAGACAAAAAACAAACAACCTGACAGTATCATTTCTCGTATGCATCTACCATCAGGCCTGTATATTCGTTTTGTGTTTGTTCAAAATGTTTTATGTCATTATTCACGTGGTAACATCATATGGTTAGTGAATGAAAAATACCCCCTTTTTTAATTTATTTATTTATCTGCTCTATGATTACAATAATGCCAAAAGGTAATAACTAAATGAATAGAATAATTGGAAAATTAAATGTGTTTTTACCTTCTGCATGATGATGATGATGATTTATGCTGAATGTTTTCGTTGAATAGGCAGTTCTAATTGCTTCTGATTTGCAGATGATACGGTTTCACTGTAATCAATATGGATGTTTACGTTTTTAATAGCTTACAGTGAGCAGTTAGTCAGTTTACTATTATTGCCTTCTGAGTGGAACGTTTAGAATTGTGTTGGCCGCGAATCGAATGCCAGACCACGTGCGTGGTCGGCAAGCACTATACTATTGAACTACTGACGTTAAGTATTTTTTCGTTTCCTGCATTCCGAGTGGAACGTAAAGCTTCGACCTTCAAAAGTCTCAGTAGCATTGGCGTAGTTTTTTCAAGGGATGGGCTTCAGCTAACCTCATGACCAACCTTCCCTCTTTTCTAAGCTAGCAAACTAGGCAAGGTTTAATAGTGTGTCAGCGGGGAGCCAAACCACGATAACCTGCGCGGTAGGCCAACATTTTGCCATTGATCCACCAGTGTCCTTCAGAAGTCAACAAACTTTTTATCACTCCTTTGCTTTCCAAGTGGAATATAGCTTTTGAAGTTTCAGTAACCATATTGTTCTTCATTTATGGGATGCAGTTGATAGACTCACTACTACTTACTAATAGATTATTTGTTCGATTATCTACCATGATAAAGTTACATCAACTGGATATCTTCATCTCCAAGATGTTTATTTTTCAAGAAAAGTGCGTCAACATTTACTCAGTGTATTGGCTTTATCACTTTCTACAATACGGGCTGAAGGGAATTATGGCTGTAATTTGTCGATAGATGCGTGGTTAATCAAATTTTACTATTTCCTATAGTTGGTTTCTAAGGATTGGTTTTGTTTTTACGAGTTGATCACGGATTGATATCAGTTAGAGAACCATTGAAAACCAGCAATGGAGTACTGGACAGCTGCTGTTTCATCCTAGTTTGGGGATCATCGGCAGTACGCACCCACCACCCAGGTTCAAACCCAGGATCTACCAGATACAAGGCAAGCTTGTATACCATTCAGTCACTGGGACCCGATTCAATGGCTCATGAATTTTTACTTCTACCAATTTGTGACTTAGCGCGACCCCAAGTAATGTCGTCGGCGGGACATCCATTCTCACACTTGACTGGATGGATCTCACTGGTCACGACTTCTCACTAGATCTCCAGGAAACTCCATCCTGTAGCAAGTCACTAGCGAGCGTCAGATTAATTTTCAAGAGTTGGTTTGTAAGGATTAGTTTTGTTTTTACGAATCATATACAATTTTGAACTGTGCTACTAGCTTCAAAAACCTCTGTTCAATTTAAAAGTGGTTTATAGGCATCGAAAGGACCTGTTGAAATCACTTATTGAAAGATGCCTCCTGAATGTAAAGCCTCGAGCAACATCATGTTCTGTATGAAAAACAAATATGCCTTAGCATATCTACACCTGTACATGCTAGATTTATTTGTTCTACTATGAAAACTGATGTTTAAAGATGTATGTGAGAGAGTACAATTAAAGTCGAAGGACAGAAGTTATGTAAAAGAATCAAAATTTGATGTAATCAGGTCCTTTAAAATCTCTTTGAAATATTCAAGTATTGGTTTATAGTGATTTAATAGGTTGGTTACAGGATTTTATCATGAGTTGACATCGGTTGGAGAACCATTGGAAAACCTGGGAGTACTGGACAACTGCTTCTTCCTAGTTTGGGACTCCAGTAGCATGCATCCACACTGCGGGGTTCGATCCAGGAACCTTCCAGTTACAAGTCAAGCTCGCTCGTAGACCATTAGACAATTGGGACCCAATCCAATGGCCAGTCCATGAATAGCGTGACCACTAGCCAATGTCTACGGTGAGAATTTCTCATCACGCCCGACCTGCTATACCCTACTGGTCACGACTTCCCACTAGAAACCCAGGTAACTACCTACTTGAATAGGACTAGTGGGTGCGTACTGATGAAGAGTCCCAAACTAGGATGAAACAGCTATCCAGTACTCCTAGGTTTTCCATTGTTTTTCCTTGAAATAATTAAAGGAATGTAATCTAATTCACAAGCAACCAAGAAGAAGCGGTGTAAATGGTAATATATTGTCAGGGAAATAGTATAATTTGAAAATGGACTCGTGAAGGTTCTTGTCGTATAGTTACAAACGATTATTAAATCATAAAGGAGATCAAAACATAAAACCATAAAGACCAGGTGTCTAGAAGAAAAGCTACACCATTGTTTGCATAGATGAATTTAAACCTGACACTATCAGAAAATTAAAGCAGTGATTACAACCTGTCTAACGAACAACCTTTGTTACTTATATATTCACAACTAACTTCCTAATTATGACTACTGAACCTAAATGCAGAGCACTAATAATAATAGAAAACAAAGAAGAGAAAATGTTGGGGGAATGGAACTTATTTTGTTGATTTAAAATATCGTTTCGTCCACGTTCTAACTATAAGTTGTTATTACATTTGCATTTGAAGAAATGTCTTTTGTTATGATAAGTCGTGCAGTAAAGTTCCTATAAATCGACAATAACAGACTCTGTGTGCCTTTATCATTTCTACTTTGCATTACACATAATGCTCAAAACATCAGCTTTGCTTTATAACCATTTGTACTGTAAACGGTTTATGATGTTCATTAATCATAAATAAACTTATTTTTAATTGTCATGATGGTTTTTATCCACTCCACTGAAATGCCATTTAATAAATTATACAGTATAACTACGTATGAGGTACATAAGTAACAAACTTAAGTGCATATATGATCCAATGACAGATCTAATCTCAAGTATATTCAGGCTTTTAGGCACAAAAACAAGTAGATAAGCATTCTGGCAACAAGCCAAATTTACGCCCAATAAAGATGGAGGTCCACAGCACTCAGCATGAAAAACAAAATCCGGATTTTCAACTCCAATGTGAAGTCAGTGCTACTTACTATGCGAATCAGAGACTTGGCGCATCACAAAGGTTACTTTGAACAAACTACAGACCTTCATTTAAAAACAGCTGTCTTCGCTCAATACTACTCAAGATCAGATGGCCAGCAAAGATCAGCAACAGAGATCTCTGGCAATGGGCGAACCAACCAGGAACCGAATTTGCAGCAAATATGCAGGAAGAAATGGAGGTGGATTGGCCATACCGTGAGAAAACCATCAAGTGACATCAGAAGACATGCCCTCGAGCGGAACCCAAATGGGAAACGGAAAGTTGGTGGTCGGTGCGAGGGTGATATGGAGGAAGTCATGTGAAGAGGAGATGAAAGCATGTGAGCAGACGTGGAGCGAGGTGAAAACGTTGGCGGAGAACCGAACACAATGGAGACGTGCGGCTGAAGCCCTGTGTTCCTCTAGGAACAAAAGGAAATAATAATAATAACAAGATGCAGAAGGAAATGAAGATCGATTGGATATACGCTGAGAAGATCATTGAGTGACATCGCGCTCCAGGCAGTCGAGTGGAAGCCAAATGGCCAATGACGGATTGTGCCTCCAATAGTGATATGAAGAATATGTGAAGGAGAAATGAAAGCTTGTAGGCAGTTATGAAGCCAAATAAAACGGACTACATACATGGAATGGAAATGGAGATGTCCTGCTGTAGGCTTATTTTCCACTCGGAACCCAAGGGAATGATGATGATGATACTAATGTATAATTCTTTCATTTCTCAAGTACATTTGAGCTTCTAGGCGAAAAAAGATACACTTCATAGACTAATACCGCAAGGAAATTAAATATTTCTTGAAAATTTCACTCTTAGAATAGCAACTAGCAAATGAATGTGACACTTTGGAATGTGAAATATATAAACAAATATGTCGTGCAGATTTGCGACATACTGAAATGCCGTAAAAATTCACTATCTTTCAAAGTTTGCTTACCTACAACAACAACAACAACAACAACAAAGAATTAAGTGGGTAGTTGAACAACGAGGCAGTTTTGTAAACCGCACAGTAAAAGTCATCTGTTCATTGGCACACTATGAATCTCACTTTCAATGAAACAGTAGCCGTATAGTGAAGTAATTGTTATTATTATTATTATTATTATTATTATTGTATCCTTTAATTCCAAGAGGAACAAAGGGCTTCAGCCGTGCGTCTCCATTGAGTTCGGTTCTCTGCTAGAGTCTTCACCTGGCTCCATGTCTGCCCACACGTTTTCATCTCCTCTTCACATGACCTCCTCCAAGTCACCCTTGCACTGACGACCAACTCGCCGCTTCCCATTCCGGTTCCACTCGAGCAATGGCTTGTCTTCTGATGTCACTTGATGGTTTCCTCAGAGTATGGCCAATCCATCTCCATTTCCTTCTGCATATTTGTTTCACAATCGGTTCCTGGTTTGTTCGTTCCCAGAGATCCCTCCCTGTTGTTGATCTTTTCTGGCCGGCCATCTGATCTTGAGTATTGAGCGAAGACAACTGTTAATGAAGGTCTGTAGTTTGTTTGAGATGCTCTTTATGACGCGCTGGCCAAGTCTCTGATCCGTATAGTAGCACTGACTTCACATTGGAGTTGAAAATCCGGATCTTATTTTTGATGCTGAGTGCTGTTGACCTCCACACAGTGAAGTAAACTGAAGATATTTTAACTAGATGTTAACTAATCTTGACAAAACTGAGAAATGTGGTAATACAGAACAAACTGAAGTATAAAATAACCAATCAACACGGCTTAACACATGAAAAATAAGCTTACTAGACATCGTGCATGTTTGATAACAACATCCAGACGTCGTAATGTCTCACTTAGATACAATTGAATTTGTACAGCTGGTAAATAATCGATACTCTGTGTTGTCGCCAACATATCATTGGAGGAATTAGGAAACAATGGGAATGATGATGAGAAAAGTAGAGGAGTCGTAGATTCTTTAGACTTTTCAGTTAAGATATCATTAAATAATGTTGGATTCCAGTATTTAGATAATGAAGAGGAGGACGATGAAGAAGTGATGTTGATTTCTAGAAAACAAAACAAAACATTAAGGTTAAAAAAATGAAGCTATATGAAAGTGTACACATTAATATGAATGATGTCAGACAAAATAAACAGAAAGCGTTAGTATTAGTAACTTCTTTTAAGTATTAAATTTTGCAACAAACTAACACCGAACGAAGTCTTTTACTTTTAAATAATCAATACATGAAGGTAATTAAACATGTGAGTAATGCAGCTTATAGTGTGTAAGCAGGCACTGGATTGTTAAAATAAAGGAATAAAGCCATTATTATTATTAAAAATTAGGTTAATGAGAAATACACCAAGTACACAAATATACCAAACGTCAATTTCAGTACAGTTACTCAAAGTCATTAAATTGTTTTACACGTTTAAGTGTTAGACACTTTAATAATAATAATAATATCAGCATTATTCTAGGAATTATGTTCAAACACAATAGAGAATTCTCAGAATAATACCTTGCGAAAAAAGTTACTCCTCATATGGATTCTTCAGTCACAGTATTCACCAACAGTACGTCTTAAGACGCAACGTCATTTTATTTGAAACAAGACTCAATCAATTACGAAATTTATTCCTCTTGAAGTGCACAACTTTAGATTGGAATCCAATTAAAAATTCACGTGAGTTCATGTTACTATTCAAGGACATAATTGGAAGATTAAAACAACAAGAAATGGATTGAAATTTAATTAGCCTAGTGATTTTAGCAGTCCGCTGGAATGCGCGAGCCCAAAGAACTTATGCGTCAGATATTGCTATACTTAGGATGATATCTCTGTTTTCATTGTTTTGTGTTCCGATCGGAACATTGCGTTTCAAGCTTCAGCTTTTATTTTATTTTATATTTTATTATAGCTTGATTCCACACAGTATTTTGGTACAGGTATGGAATTTTCAGCATGTGACATCAGTAGTCCAAATTTAGCAGGCCGACAATTGATATCAGCTGTGTGTCGACCGGATATCGAACTCCGGACTACGAGCATCCTAGCCTCTGTGTCACCGATGCACGCTTTGACGTTTCACAAGCAGTGGATATTTTTTAAAATCTTTTTACGGGATGGAGTTGTTTGTCTCATACTCAACCTTCCCTCTTTATCAGGCCTACTACTAGGTAGGCGAGTTTTGACAAAGCATCGACCGGGAATCGTAGACGGAGCAGGTGTGTGGTTGACCTCATGATTCATGCTGCTTTGAAATAGATGTACGCAGCTGGTGTCAAGTTAGATTCACTTAGAATGTTTTCATTATAGGTTTTCAGAATCATACTTTAATCTAAAGAAAATGTTATTTATCAATAAATTAACTTAAGCTTAGTTTATAGTAAATAATTGAAATCAATGAAAAGTAGAAATTTCTCACAAAAAATGCGCGGTGTATAATAAAACCCAAAACAAGTGAAAGGAAAACAGTTAAATGAATAACTACTGCGTTAGTAACTTTGCGCAAACACCCCGTTTAGTAAAAAAAAGGAAAAAAAACTAAGGCATGATTTGTTATTAAATAATAACGAGAAAAACAAGCAATTTACTAGATTTAACCAATTGAAAAAGTTTGTAGCGCAAACTAATTTGCCATAACTTATAATCGAATTATTCATTCATCTCCTTTTTACTCAAATGCATTATTCTTATAATTTAAAAAAATACTGGGTATATCGATTACTCATTTGAACAGGAAAACATATACGTATAAATACTTATAATATATGAGAAATGTCATTGCTGTTTTGCACTAGTTACTAAGTAGTGTCCAGTGGGAGCATCCAATACATTCGCGAGCCCGAATAGCTCAGAGGTAACGTCTCTGAATGCAACACTGGATGAAGTGGGTTCGAATCTCAGAAGGGTGATGAGCTTCTCTTCTAGACTGCAGATAGGCTTTGATGACTAGTGAGTACCAACAAGCACAAAACCTAGGTCCAAGGCTTCCTGCTGACTGCCTCCAACTATCAGTTAAGACACTGACTGATGATATACTAATTAGAATCACTGTAAAATATGAAATCTGCTAGCACTCCATAAGTTGAAATTAGCACTCACTTGAATAAGCTACTTAATCAAACAAGCATTCCTCAACTTCGACCCCTCTATGTGATTCTGTGAATATATATATCACAGAAACTTCGGATCTGTCAATTCTGTTTACAAAAGGTGATTGAACTGGAAAAGCATTGTCAATGTAGTAGATTATACCCATCAACGCATACTGTGGGGGTACATCTCATGTGTAATCCTAGTTATTAGGAAAATCTTCTGGGACAAAAGTGACAGTTTCAGATGAATTCTAGTACTTGATAACATCAATATAGTAGTCTCTTAGGTTTGAATTATTAGAGTCAATGGTTAGATATTTTTAAAGCAACATTTCAACTGTCTCAATTTGTTCAAAGGAGTAACCCCAGGGATAATGAACCACAGAGAAAACAAACTAATTCAGGAAATAAATGATATATGTATATATATATATATATATATATATGTATTAGAAAATCTGTTACAAATTTTTCGGCAGCTATTTAAGCTTACTGGATGAAAGTGATTAGACAGCTGTAAGGAAAAAAACACAGTTTGCGAATAAAAAATATCACTTGAAAGCTAAATAATACATATTGAAAAGATGTTAGATGTATTGTGATGTAGAGTTACCTAGTTAGTTGACCACAATACGGAGGTGACTGAAAGAAGTTAGTCAGTCAGCACCACTACTCAGGACTAAATACATGATACTGGTTAATCCCTAGCAATCAGTTAATACTGCTGAACAGATACCTTAATGAACTTCAGATTTGATGGTATCAAAACATTTGAGGATTGGATATTTTAACTGATTAAAAATGCCCATTAAAATTTTCAAAAGGATAGACACGGAACAAACAGTACTCTTTTCGATAAATTCATTATCAGGTTCTACAATTATATATACATTATAATGAATGAATTAGTCTCATGAACGACATTAATGTTTAAATAACATCAAATCAATAATATTGATAAATTACAGCTGAACAGCATCAACATCAAATAAACTGAATGTCAGAAGAATTAGGAAAGGTAATAGTACAAATTCATGAGTTTGTAGTCTCTACTGAGGGCCAGGACAGTAGTAGGGGCTGGACTTGTTTCTTTTGAACCCAGAGCACTGGTTTTTTGAGGCGAATCGCAATAGCTTCTGCTGTTTGGAGCATGCGGTGCTTCGACGATTTTGGTAGTTTGTTAGGCACCCGGTATATTATAGAGAAGAATTCTTCTACGCTGGCTTTGTGACCGGTTTGCACCAGATGGTGTAATATCGAGCTGTTAATAGTTTTAACTACACCTTTACTTAGCCATAGTGGGATATGTTCTCGAGCACGAAAAATCAAGTTCCTAGAGCAACCGCCAATATAACTCGCTCCACAAGCGCAGGTTGAATTGATAAATACGTTCACTTCTACTAAAATACTTTTATCCATCAGTAGATTGAAAAAAAAGTTTTTTAACTGATTGCTCATTATCCAGGGCTAACAGCTTCAATAAAATAATATTACTTTAAGAAAGTTGAGAGAAATGGCGCTCAGTCAACAGTAAAAGAATAGTGAGTGAATGAAATAGGAGTTGAGAAATAATAAGCTTGATAAGTGACTAGTAGGGGATTCCAGGATGTGTGCTTAGTTCTATCTAGTGGTGTTCCTACTGGGACTCAAACCTTATACAGCAAGGCATAGTCTGGTAAGCCAGTAGGGGCACGAGAACCACCTCTTGTTCGGCGGGTCAGTTTGCATTGACCGACGTGCTCAGTCTCTGTTGATATGTTGGCATAGATAATTCTTTGATGTTTGAAACTATGGGTGGTGGATTCGAATTTCAGTGGGAACACCACCAGTTACTTGAAATGCAAGTACCTTCAGCCAATGAACAGGAAGATATGCACACTGCCGATTCAACTGCTGGTTACAATCAACAAAAATAACATCAAGTTAATCTTCACACATTGTAGAAGAGTTCACGCTAGGAGCCGCCAGAGACCGGACATTTCCGGCCAACATAATCAGTCGATCGAAAATGAAAATTAACCCAAATAGGTAGTGAGCATAAAGTTGATGTTAATACAGCACTAAAAATTATCTACTGCATTCCTAATAATCTTAATTTTGCTTTACGTGTCCATCTCCTAAAAACAGCTGAAACCATAGGAATCCAGCAGAAGAAGCCAAACCTGTGGGTTCAGAAGAAATTTGTACAACCACTTTCCTTACCTTACATGAATGTATAAGCCAGACTACTTCACCCCCTGCTCCTCCTAAACCTTTAAAAAGTATAATTGCCCAAATTATTTTTCTGACTACTTCATCTTTAATCACGCGTTATTACTGTCCAAATTATTTTATTCTTATGACTACTTCATCTTGAATTAGAAGTTACTATCGTGCAAATCGTTTTATTTTTCCTTAAAAATCTGTTACACAATCAACTTGAGCACTCACTTATTCCTTAATTACTCTTCATTTTTCTAAAATTATGCATCATGCAATCTACGAGTTGTGGCTATTTCTATTTTTTAATTGTATGCATTAATTTTCTTCGTTAATTATCATCCCATTGACATTGTTGATACTGAATAAAAATAATTATTAACAAAGATATCGCCACTTAATTGGTAAATTGTTGTGTGTTGTAATAAAACTGCTATATATATAAGAGTAGCGGTTAGGACGCTCGCCGACCATGCACATGGCCCGAGGTTCGATCCCCGGCCAGCGCACTCCTTTACCTTGCTAAGCCAGAAATAATGCTGGTGAAGAGGAAAGGTTGGGCATGAGGCTAGCAACTCCATCCTGTAAAATAAACACTGCTACAGAAACTTCAAGCCACTAGCTTGAAGCCCTATGTATCACTGTGGAACGTGAAGGAAAAGAAATATATATATATATATATATATATATATATAAGAGTATGGGCAGAGATGAGGATCTAATTGAAAAGTAAATATTTCTTCGCTTAATCCTTTTGCTTTC